TTTTTGGCATTTTATACTTGTAGAAATTAATCACAGTTCAGCTTGCAAAAGTCCAACCTTGTGTCATTCTCATTTATACTAGATGAATCTCTCAGGAAGGAAGTAGTTGTCTATTACTAGTTTTATTTAGTTCTCATGAAAGACCTTACTGATCTTTTTCAGTAACATAGCAAAATAAATGAAAATCACTAGCCTGAATTGAAGTAAAATTTCCATTTCAATTTGCTGTCAGTGAGATACTCCTTTAAAGTAGGTAATGGAATTATACCTTGATGCCATAAAGAAAAGGATTGTGTAATTCCAAATCTAGGCAGATGCACATTCACACAACACACAATGAGTTGTCCTTGACACAATGAAGAAGTAGTTATGCTGAGAAAAATGAACTGTGATAAAGTTTCTTGTGTTCAGTTTAATAGGTTAACTTAAAAAAAACTTTTTTTTTGGGGGGGGAGGTTTGAGACTGTACCTGATGATGCTCAGGGGCTACTCCTGACACTCTACTTGGGTTACTGCTGGCGGTGTTTGGAGTGCATGGCTCGCACTCAGCCAGTTGAGTTTTCCAGAGGCTTCCAAACTTACACTTTTAGTTAAACGATTATATTTTTCTTAGTCTTGTAAATTGTAAATTCATTGTGGGGAGGAGAATATCTTCATTTTTCTTTAGAACGTTTCCTTAGTGCTTGCCCATATTGGAACACTCAGAAATGCTCACTGATGGACTAAATTAAAATATTTACCACATACATTTTGTCAGTGGTTATTCAGAGAAGGATGATTCCAGGTATGAAAATGAGAAATATGTGAAAATCAGAATTTTAGATGTATAATGAAAGTGGGTTTTAGCAAGGAACTTTGCCAAAATTCCATCAAAATAATTAACATGCAAATTGGAATTCACATTGCACGCCTAAAAACATTTGTTCTATAGATGATTATTAGTGCATATGTGGTGTTTATGTGGATGCACAGATGTGTTCAGAAATCTCTGATCTATGATGTGGCACTCTGAACAATCCAGCCTGTATTCACAGATGAATTACATTTCATTCCCTCATTATCCTGTGCCACAATTGCATCTTGCGTATTTAAATAGGTGTACCAATTTACCCAGAGAGAATTACATTTTTGAGAAAACAGCTTAATGAATTACTTCACATTTGCAATAAGTAACTTTAATGAACTATCAAAACAAAGGATATAGGTTTCCTGGTTAGCCATATAATTAAAGTTTCTCAAGGTGATTAGATATCCATTTTTTTTGAGAACTGAAATATCACACACATATAATGCATGCATAGTTTGAGTTACTAATTCACGAAGGAATTAGTGAATAAAATTAAATGAGTGGTTTCTTTTATATTAAGCATAAGAAAGAGGAGTGATCTATTATTTTATTTTGGCAACTTTTCAATCTAGTCATTGAAGACGAGAATTGTAATTTTCTTTTGTATGTAATATTTTATTGTATATAAGAATACACAATAGAATATGAGTTATCATTCTGGAGAGGAAGATTAGAAATTTTACTTCTGGATATATTTCCATGAAAAGCAAGAAAATAGGCTGAAGTTTGAATTATAATACTTTCTTAGTCTAGTTATGAAGTTTTCTAGTAGATATTGAAAACAAGGTTATACAATTTTCACTTTAGATTGCTCTAAAATTTTACTAATCTCAGATATAATGATCAATCACCAAATGCCTTGGATGTCTGCTTAGAAAGTCAGGATTTATTTTGCAAGATAAGGTATTATTTAGAGAGACTGTGTGCAGTAATTCAGAAAGCCTTTATCTTAGAGTCAGGTGCATTCAGAGTGCTGGCTTTGTCATTTACTAACTGTGTGATCTATGGGAAACGATTTAACCTCTTTGCTCTAATTTGTTTATGTGTGAACTTCAAAGGGTTGTTTGAAGCACCGGCATTTGATAGAAATTAAAGAAAGTGTTGTTTTATTTTCCTTTATCTTCTTTTAAAAATTTCCACTGCAGTTTGGAGAAAAACTAAAATAAAATCCCTCTCAAGCTAAGAAAGTTTACTCTGATAAAAATAAAATGTTTAAGTCTTCTCTTTAACTGCAATATACTGGGTCATTTGTAAGCAGGATTTTTTTTTATAAGATGTTAGACTACTTAAGTTAACTTATTTACATCATGAATACACAATTTATATTTTTATATAATTTAGAAGACCATTCTAAAATATGTGTTGATTTAGCTGTTCACTTTATTTTCTTATCTTTGCTTCATTTATTTAGATGTGGGTATTTTGGGAAAAAGTTGTGGTAGCATTGAGAAAAGCAAGAATCATAAAATTGGCCTGAGCAATAGTACCACAAAAAGGTCATTTGCCTTGCACATGACTGACCCTGTTTCCATCCTTTGTTTCTCATATGATCCTCTGAGCACCACCAGATGTAATTCCTCAGTGCAGACCCACGAGTAACCCCTGAGCACCACAGGATTTGGCCCCGAAACAAACAGCCAAACAACAAAACAAAAATGAAAAGAAAGAGCTCTAGGACAGTTAGAATGTTGTGAGAAGGGGCACCAATGTAGTAACATGAAAACCTGATGTCTTACTTTTACCCCTTTATAATATGGACAACGTTTTTTTGCTTAAATCCCCTTCCTTAGTGGAAAGAAGGAAAAGACTTCATTCTCTCCAATTTTGATTTTCTATCTGCTCATGACAATAATGAAGTTTAACTACGGGGAAAAAAATTTTACAAATTAATTCTAGATTCAGCAGAAATAGAGACCATTTGCCAGAGGGGATGGCATGCCAATGTTGTATAAAAGGGAAAGAGGTAATGTTCAGCTTTAGTACTTTGACAGTTATCATTCCCATAATGCTAGGAAAATTAGTTGACCAGGAAATATATTTCTAATTTGAAATGTCTGCCAAGGAACTTTCTCATTTTAAAAGGTAAGAGCTTGGCACATGGTGGTGCACATACTATATTTTCTTCATACCTGTTGCCAAAAGTTTTCAGATTTAGATCAAACAATTCTTTGACTCTGTTGTTTTGGGGCACAATGGTGGTGCTTGGGGGCTGCTCCCAGTTCAGTGCTCAGGGACTACTCCATGAGTGGTGCTCAAGACATGTGGTCCTGGGGATTGAAACTGGGTTTCCCACATGCAAAGCACACACTACAACCTATCAAATCACCTTCTTGGTCCAACAGCTCTTTGTATATTACATTTTTTTTCTGATTCTCTCTTAACACCTGATAAGGTATAGGAAGCAGTCAGTAAATATTTGGATTTCAAATTACTAGAAATTGTGTATCTTTTCAACCAATGAGTAAAATCATATAAAATCTAAATATTCAACAGCTGGTTAAGCCTCTATGGAAAACAATATGATCACTTCTCAAAATACTAAGAATTGAGCTTGTATACTGACACTGTCTTCCCATTGTTCATCGATTTGCTCGAGTGGGCCCAGTAACGTCTCCATTTTGAGACTTGTTGTTACTGTGTTTTGGCATATCGAATATGTCACGGGGAGCTTGCCAGGCTTTGCCATGCGAGTCACATACTCTAGGTAGCTTGCCGGGCTCTCCAAGAGGGGCGGAGGAATCGAACCCGGCTCGGCTAGGCTGGCTGCGTGCAAGGCAAATTTCCTACCACTGTGCTATTGCTCCAGCCAGAGCTTTTATACAATACAGCAATTCCACTTCTTGGCATCCATCCCAAGGACCCCAAAACACTGCAGCACTGTCCTCCTATTGTTCATTGATTTGCTCGAGGGGGAACCAGTAACGTCTCCATTGTGAAACCTGTTGCTACCATTTTTGGCATATCGAATATGCCATGGGGAGCTTGCCAGGCTCTGCCGTGCAGGTGGGATACTATTTTAAAAATTTGCTTTCTTTTGTTCATTGCAACCCTATTCCCCAAACCCAAGATTGGGAAACAACCCAAGTGTCTACGAACAGATGAGTGGATAAGGAAAGTATGGATTATGTACATACTGGAGTACTATTCAGCTGTAAGAAAAGATGACTTCATGCAATTGCCACTTGTGGATGGAACTAGAGTATTGTGCTGCAAAAAGTCAGTCCTGAGGACAGTAACACATATAGTGTTACTTCTAACATATGCAATATAAAAAAAAACATAGTTTGGAAATAAACAATGATCAAAGGCAACAAGACCTAAGAATTGGTCTATAGATATGAACTTATTATGGCATGGTAGAGGTAAGGGGAGTAAATTGGACCTTGGGACATTAGGCGAGGGAAGCAGACCTTCTGCTGGAGAATACATTAACCCTGACATTTCCAGTAACGTAAATCACAGTGCCTCAATGAAAATTAGGGGAGAAGTTCTTTCATTTTAATTTTCCTCCTGAGTCCTAGTTTTTCCTTCTATTCCTCCACCCCCACTTCTAGCTCTTCCAAATGTCTTATTAAGCTATGGCCACCCCACAAGATGTCTTCTCTAGCATGCAGATTTCTTCCAGGTCCAGATTTTCTTTCTTTCCTGCTGCCTCTTTGGCTGCCTCTGATTCTAATATTCTCCCATGTAAGCTTTCAGGACACATGTTCTCTGTGGAGTTCAATAGGCCAGTTCCTATCGAGACATATTATTAGCTGGTGACTAGGCTGGTTCTCTCTGAACCTTGTTTTAATAGATTCTACCTCATGTGGTTGTGATAAGGACAGAAATAGAAATTCAGCGATATAAAGAGAAAGCCAGCAGTCAATTCAAGACATGTTTTAGAATCTTTTTAAATTGGATGACCATCATACTACTTCTCAGGCTATGCTGAAGTAATGCAGAACTAGAAACTCTTACATCCAAGGAGCCACCCACTTCCCATGGGAAATCTGTTTCAAGTAACAGGAAATTTGCTTCACTGAAACCAACCAGTTTGATTTGGTCTCCAGTCACTTAGTTAATGGACCACACTTAAACAGTATCATCTCTCTCTTGAATGACCTGTTTCAGTCCTCTGAAAGAACAGAAACTGTCTGCCTTCTTTTTCTAGTTTGAACTTCAATGGATGCTGATTCACTGTGACCCACTGCGACCCAGGAGAGAAACTTGCCATGAGCTGCCAATCAGGATAACAGTGAGTTTCCGGGATGACCTGTAAGAGCCGCTTCCAGCCCTTTTAGCTCTGTGCACCTCCGCACACCGGGGCTTCAAGGCCTCTAGACAGCGCAGGTGCTACACGACTCAGGTATTCAGGATGTTCAGGAAACTCGGGTGCCACTAAACCCCGGCAGGTAGGAACCACTTCAGGTGTCTAGTTCCACTTTTGGTGGCTGAAGACCCTCCCCTATTCCCCTTGCAAATACCACTGCGAAGGCTGGGTGTCTATCCAGAGCTCAGGGACACACAGGTACCCAGGGGAGGCGCCTGGAAACCCGAGAGGCCACGTTTGCGGCGTGTGGCCAGGGAAAGGGTTAAGGGGGACTTGTCATCCTATCCGTCCTCCCAGCCCGCAGGTTCTCCTCCAATCCCCAGGACCCTTTCCTGGACCATTCAAAAAAGGGCCGCAGGGGAGGAAGCCTTCCAGTCTGGCACATTTTACACAATGCCCGGGCCCCGAGGGCGCTGTCTGCAGGGGATAGGAGCCCCTTTATGCGTGAGGGGAGGCCAGTAGGGCCGCCAGCAGGGACGAGGCAGGGCATTACTAGCCCGGGGTGGCCGGCATGGCCTGGTCGGCGCGGGTTGTCGGGGCGTTGGGGCTGCGGTTGCTGCTGTCGGGGCTCTGCGTGTGCGCGGCTCAAGTAAGTGGTGCGGGCGTTTGGAGGGCGGGGGAGGAGGTTTCTTCTCACTTTCCCCCCCGTCTGTTCTTCTCCAGCCCAGCCAGACCACAGACCAGGTAAGCGGAGGTGCAGAAATGTTTGCATTCCTCCCCCCTTCTCCCTGAAGCTCACTGGCAAAGGTGAGGGCTCAGCCGTCGGGGGTGGGCGCCGCGGGGAAGGCGCGCAGCATCTTCGGGCCCGTGGGACCGTTTCCTCCAGCCCCGGGGCACCTGCCACGAGGACCTGGGCTGGGAGCACCTGCAGCGAGTGTCGGTGGGGGGAAAGGGCGCCAGCTTTTTCCTAGGAGGACCCTCACCCTGCCCGCAGGCTCGGGCGCCGAGACTGGGATGCCAGACTGATTGGGTCGTGAGCCTGGCTGCTTTTGACCTGCCTCCTGGAGCAGGCCTGGCCCGAGAGGCGGTATCCGACCACAGCCCGCAGCACCTAGCCGCGAGGTCCGCCCGAGGCGCAGGACTCAGGGCTGGGAACCCGCAAAACTGCAGAAACGGCCCGACGGCTCCGTGGGGCCCCTTCTCCCCCGCCACGCCGCTCAGGGCGCAGAGGGGTCGGAGACCAGCCAAGATTTCAGGGTTTGAGTTTCACTTACAAAGACCCCATTGTAACCTGTCTGGTAGCTGGAGTTTAGAAAAACAAAGTTTTCCTGTTGAAAATACCCCCCCCCCCCCACATCTCTCTATTGTCTCTTTGTCTCTTTCCCTCTCTTCTTTCTCTCTCTCCTTCTTTCTCTTCCTCTCTTTCTTTCTTTCTTTCTTTCTTTCTTTCTTTCTTTCTTTCTTTCTTTCTTTCTTTCTTTCTTTCTTTCTCTTTCTTCCTCTTTCTTTCTTTCTTTCTTTCTTTCTTTCTTTCTTTCTTTCTTTCTTTCTTTCTTTCTCTCTTTCTTCCTTCCTTCCTTCCTTCCTTCCTTTCTTTCTTTCTTTCTTTCTTTCTTTCTTTTTTTCTTTCTTTTCTTCCTTTCTTTCCTAAACAAGAAGTCTTTCAGAGGTCAGTTTGTTTACATGATTAAAGGGGCACACCATAGGATACACTTGAAATGGGATGTCATTTGAGTTTTTTGTTTGTTCTTGTTTTGTGGCTGCCACACCTGATGGTGCTCAGGGCTTACTCTGGCTCTGAATTCAAGGTTCGCTCCTGCCAAGCTCAGGGCACCAAATGATGTGTACATAAAATTAACCCAGGTCAGCTCCACGCAAGGCAAACGCTTAACCTGCTGTCCTATCTTTCTTTTTGGAAGAGAGTGCAAAGAACCCAAGCGAAGGCGTGGGCTACAAGTAGAGCTGAAATGAGGCGAGGCTACCCCCTTCTCTCAATCTTTATTTCTAGAGTGTTGCTCCTAGGTTGGGGCTTAGAATTAGAATTATAGTCTATGCTATTATCAATCTGCTGTGGGGGCTCAGTGCCTAGCAGTTCCATTTTGAGACAAACAGTAGCTGCAGTGACTGATTAAATGGGGTGTGTACTAGACACCGTTTCCCTTTCTGAATCCCTTTCAAAGAGGCCTCAGCACCTCTCTCCACAAATCCTCCTGGTTTTACTGCAGGCTGTAGTGGTGGGCTCCTAGGAGCCCTCTTCCCACGAGGTAAGTTTGTATGGCCTCTCTCACCTGTTGTTAGCATCATTTAGAATCTGGCCTTGCTTAAGGAACCCTCTTCACTTGAAAGTTTAAGTGACATTCATTATTCCCCAAACCGGGTGTTTACATGGAGATATCTGGGATACTAGGAGTTGGGGTCCTCTGGTCTTCTGGTGTGGTTCCATTGTAGCCCGACTTGCTCCACCTAACCTTATCTGCTGTTTTTGCCAGAGAGGTCCTCCGGGTGCACAAGGTCCTCCCGGGCCTCCAGGACCCCCTGGAGTTCCAGGCATCGATGGCATAGATGTAAGTGTTTCTGTGTTCCTTAGCTCCTGCTGTCCTGCCTTTTTCTTTATGAAGCTCTAATAGTTTCTTGGAACTGCGGGGAGACTCCTAATAGCCTGACGTTGGTTTGGGGAGGAGGAAAGTAAACCTGGCTTACTGTCCCTTTTGGATAAGAACCTCTACCATTCAGCCCTCACCCTGCCCATGTCCGCCCATGTGTGACACACTTGGGATTCTTCGAGGAGGTCCCCAGAATCTCCTACTCATGAACTGTTTCTGCATTTTCTCCAACTCCTCCAGGGTGACCGAGGTCCAAAGGGTCCCCCAGGCGGCCTGGTAAGCTGATCAGCCCTCTCACCCTTCACTTGCTTGATTTCCTCTGATTTGATTGAGTGTCATTTTGCACCTTTTTGTTTAGCCTGTGTCTCCTCCCTTATTCAGGGTCCTGCTGGAGAACCAGGCAAGCCAGGAGCTCCAGGCAAGCCAGGCACACCTGGATCAGATGTGAGTTAATCCTGATTCTGGGCATGAGGGGATATGGCAGAGGGAGTAGGGGGGAGAGGGGAGGGCATTGGGAATGGGTGAGGGGAAGGAGCAGTATGAGAGAGAGAGGCTGTTTGGGTTGGATAGGCTGGGTTGGGGGGAACTGTGTAGGAGAAGGAGAAAGATTTGATTTGAAGAGTGCCCTATTGTCCAGTTGAAATAGAGCGGAGAGCTGGAATTTGGCCTCGTGCTCCAGCCTCTGGCTTGAGACATCCGCTGCTCCATCTGGAGATTGCTAGCGCTGGTGGTTCAGTCTCAGAAGTCAGCAGGAGGTACCTGTTCTGGCCTGTTCCTTGCCCACAGTGAGTGCCTTGAGAGGATGAATCCTATTGACCAGCTAGTCCTCTTTATTCCTGCCCATTCACGGGCACGCTGGAGGATCATTTAGAAAAGGAACCTCAGGAAGGCAGATGAAGGTCCAGAGTACTCCTAACCATCAAGGAAGAGAGCAAACAAAGATCCTTTTGAGGGGAGACAGCTGAAGTGAGTGGGGTGGGTGGGGCGGAACAGAAAAATGAGCAATCCTCCAGAAAACGTAAAACTAGCTTCCCCATTTTAGCCCTGGGCCTTGTTTTTCTTGTTTGTTGTTTTATTTTGTTTTCCTTCACTGAGAAATGTCTGAAGTTTCTTGATGATGGACAACTGACTCTCCCCATGTCTGCATGTCCCTCTGATAATATGAAGGATGCTCAGACATTGGTTTGTATGGCAAATTTAGCACTAAGTAATATTTGTTTCAGAGTGAACTAGCTTTAGGATCCTTTACTTCTCTTCACTCCATGTTTTCTTTATTCCTGGTAGAGATCCCACCTCAAGCCAGCTTAACTTTGTCCCTAGCAAAGGCTGGGGCAGGCATGATACAAAGGCAAGTCAGATATGACCCGTCACTTCTTCAACTTGACCTTTGAGTTATGACTTTCTGTGGTTTCCAAATCACAATTGTAAATAAAAGAAAGCATGTGAAGGCTGGTGATTATAATTTCCAAGAACTTATGAGTAGAGCTTAAGGAGAAAGTAAGAAACACACCCATGACCTCAATTTAGGTCTTTCATAGAACTAAGCAAAAAAATAACTTTACTATTTTGTATTTGTGTAGAACACTTTTTCTGGAGACAGATCCTTCATTTTGTGAGGAAAAAAAAACCAACTGAATTTCAGTAGTTGTAGCATAGCGGGTAAGGCATTTGCCTTGCAAGCAGCCAACATGGCTGAGCCGGGTTGGATTCCTCTGCCCGTCTCGGAGAGCCCTGCAAGCTACTGAGAGTATGTCGCCCGCAGGGCAAAGCCTGGCAAGCTACCCTTGACGTATTCAATATGCCAAACACAGTAACAATTGTCACAATGGAGACGCTATTGGGCCCACTGGAGAATAGTGACAGTAACTAAAATGACCAAGATATAGTTTTGTGTGTGTGTGTGTGTGTGTGTGTGTGTGTGTGTGTGTGTGTTTTAGACCGATGACCATAATAAGGGTTTTTGTGTCATCTAGTGTATTAGGAAATAGACTTGCTTTGTTTGGGTTTTCTATGGATTCAAAGGGACAGTGCCTGAGGCCCCTAAGAACTAATTTTTGGATGTTTCAAACTGATGCCCGCAGGGAAGAATGGGCTTTTATTTTACAAAACTTTGATCCTGAAATGTCCTAAGGAAAAAAGTGTAAGGACATTCAAGCACTCTCTTGAGGTTAAAAAGAGAAAATAAGGAGAGAAAAGAAAAAAAGGAAAAAAAAACCCTCAACTCTTATGCTTGTGCCTTGCTTTAGATATTGCCTATAACTAAGCATAATAATAATAATAATAATTAATAATAATAACAGAAACTTTACTAATTTGCATTCGTGGAGATCATTTTTCTCAAGCCAGGTTGATATCAACATTATTTCCTTTAACCTTCAGCAACAGCCAGGAAGGCAGGCTTGGCTTGTTGTATTCTGCAAAGATAAGGGAACTGAAAAATTATGAGGAAAAGTGTTCTCCTCAGGGACCCAGAGGTATTTAGTAGATAAAATAGCCAATGAAGTCAGATTTCTTGATTTTCAGATTGAGCGTTTTTTCAGATAGTTTTGTCTCCTATGTATATAAATAAATTTTTGGGGAGGTGTCCCAAGCAGGACTCAGGAGTCAAGGTGGGGACTTCTAGGCAGACAACTGTTTAGTGCTCCCCCTAGGGATTAGCCACACTCCTCCTCATTCTCCCCCCACTTACCCCAGGGCTGATTCTAGGACCACACCCAGCATTGCTCAGGGCTGCTCTATTGATGACTGGGCAATGGTGCAGTGCACTGCAGGGGAAGAACTAGGGTGGGTTGGAGGCTCTAAATACCTGAACTGTATGTCCTGAATTTTTATTTTTATTTATTTATTTTCTTTTTGGGTCACATCCGGCGATGCACAGGGGTTACTCCTGGCTCTATACTCAGGAATTACCTCTGGCAGTGCTCATTGTATTTATCTTGGGAGTGGGCTGGAGCTATAGCACAGCGGTAGGGCGTTTGCCTTGTGCGCAGCCAACCCGGTCGAGCTGGGTTCGATTCCTCCACCCCTCTCAGAGAGCCTGGCAAGCTACCAAGAGTATCTCACCCACACGGCAAAGCCTGGCAAGATACCCATGACGTATTGGATATGCCAAACACAGTAACAAGTCTCAAAATGGAGACGTTACTCGGCCCGCTCGAGCAAGTCAGTGAACAACGGGAGGACAGTGACAGACAGTGACAGTGCTCAGGGGACCATATGGGATGCTGGGAACAGAACCCGGGTTGGCCGCGTGCAAGGCAAATGCCCTACCTGCTGTGCTATTGCTCCAGCCCCTATGCTGAATTTTTAAAGAAAATTTTGTGGGTTTTTTTTCGAGGGAGAGTGGGGGAGACATACCCTGTGGTGCTCAGGGCTTAATCCTGGCTCTGTGCTTAGGGTTTACTCTTAGAAGACTTGGGGGACCTTCTGGGGTGGTTGGGATTAAATTTGGGTCAGCCATGCACAGCAAAAGCACCCTATTTATTGTAGTATTGCTCTGGCCCATGAATTTCTTAAATAGACAAATAGGACAAAATGGTGATAGTGAATTTTTATTGCTGGATTGCATAGTAAGAAAAATAATATGGACAATTCAATGGGTCAAATAATTATAGTTCATAATTATCAATATTAAGTAAATATTAATGTGGTTCCTGGTCACCAAATTTAGTACTGGAGCCACATAGGATTTATGATTCTGAGCTGAAAATTTTTCTTGTGTCCTTTGGTTCATTTGACATTTTAAACAAACTTCTTACATTGAATTGAGAACAGACATTGGAACATGAAACAGTAAGGACTACATCAGGGTTTATTGTTATTTGTTCCTGAACATAGGGAATGAAGTAGGTAGAAAAGCTCCAATAATCTTTTCCTGATAGATGCTGCTGATTGTGATAGTGGGATGTTAAGCCCCTAACTTCTTTGTCTTCTGTTCCTAGGTTCATTGCAAAGCTGAATATTTTGGAAGTTTGTGGGGGAATTAGTGTTAAGAAATGGTGAAGTAAATGATGTATGAAAGTATATGAAAGGAAAGGTTTAAAAGAAATTATGCTGTTAGTGGATTTTTAAAATTTTTTATTTTTTATTTTTATTAGTGAGACATCATGAGGTACAGTTATAGACTTAAAAATTTTTGTGCTTGGGTTTCAATTATACAATGATCAAGTACCCATCCTTCCATTAGTAGATTTTTGAAAGAAATGATTTTAAAAAGTGGCAACTCTACTTGTAGAAATATAACTTGAGTTGCATGGTCTGTGCCCTTGACTGCTGAAAGGAAATGGCAATTGAGGGCAGATATTCTCTGCCAAGCTGCAATGTCAGAAAGTTTCCAACACAGTCAGCTTCAATAAGCATCCATATTGAATTTTATTTTTATAAGCATTTGCATGAAAACTGTAATTTTTGTTACTGGTAATATTTTCCTCTGTCTTATTTTTTGGGGACGGGAGGATTTTCCCAAGTTGTACTCAGGGGGACCCAGCAATACTTGGCCCAGTGCTTCTCAGTTTCAGCAGTGAAGAGCCTCCTAGTACCACTCTGGTATATCTGGGGATCACGTGGTACCTGGGATCAAACCTGGGATCAAACCCAGGACCTCAGACCCTGAATCCAAATGTGAGGAGTACATTCCTTTGAATTATCTCCCTGCTTCTATTTTTTTCTTTTTACATATAAGAATTACCGCAAATTGGAATGGTATTTAGTGTGTGTGTAAATCACTTGATCACTTGACATCCCATTATTCATCCATTAGCTTGAGTGGGCACCAGTAACTTCTCCATTTGTCCCTGTCGCGTGCTAGTGTAGCCCAATGGCATCTGCTTGCTCCGGGAACATGAAGAGCCTCAAACCATTCGTTCAGGTTCTTGATAAAGAAGTCTGACCTTCTCGTAGGTGGGCAGCCACGCGTCCTTTTGACGTCCTGTGGAATCCAGTTGCTAACAGCTCTAGTCCAGCGGTTGTCTCCAAATTGCGTTGCGTGTCCAGCCCATCTTATTTTTGATGCCTTGGCAAACTAGACAGCATCCTTGATTCTCGATCGTCAACAGAGGTTGGAGTCCGGATTCTTTCTCTCACTTGAGTGAAGCGTGATACTCCAGGCATAGCTCTTTCGATTCTTTGGGAGACCCGATAGTGTTCTCATCCTGTTTTCGTAGGTCCCAGATATCTGAGGCGTATGTTAGTGTAGGGAGAATAGTGGAGTCAGAGATATGTGCCCAGAGCTGGAGGTTCTTTGTCCTCTTAGCTATTTCTTCAACACTCTTGAAGGTGTTCCATCCCTCTCTCTATCTCCTTCCCAGCACAAGTGCCAGGTCATTTGTCATGTTGAGTTCCCAACCTAGGTACATATAAGTTCTGCATTTAGAGATGTTCATTCCATTGAGAGCAAATGGAACATCAGGAACTAGTTTGTGTAAATGTGGAAGATAATTGATATTATTCATATTATATTTATATTTTGCAAACAAATATATAATGTATAATTCAGATATGTAATAAACTTAAATATTTGCTATAAATTATATACAGATATAAAATAAATGACATTTGAAATAGAAGATACATTTTATATAATTTATACTAATTTACATTGTTAATTATAAATGTATAGATATTTATGTAATTTCTCCATTCCTACTAAAACTTTTGTTGAAATAGACTCGCTTTAAAGATGTAAAATTAAAGAAGTCAGAGTTTGGTTATAACCTTATATCTAGAGAACAACTATTATCATTAATGGTATCGGTGAGATGGTCTTTATCTTATTTTATAGGGTCTACAAGGTAGACTCTGCACTATGTCTCCTGCCTCCAAATTGATATATTCTTAGGATTATTTGTTATAGTATGGTCGAAAAGCTCTTTAAAATAGTATTTGCTAATTTTATAGTATCCATCTCAAATAGGCAGAGATGAATTAGCAGCAAATACAGCAATTACAGTTAGAACATGCAATTTTCCCTGGCAGATCTTATGTGATTAGGATGGAGCGTTAGAGAGACATTATTCTGAAAGGTCAGTGTAAATGAAAATAGTTAATAAAGAACAGTCATCATGGTTAAGGACTAGATTGTTTTGTTTGCTCATTTCCAGAACCTTTTCCTAATGAGGTTTTAAGTTCCTGGAGGAAACAAAATGTGTTTCATGGTTCATGTGAACTCTTCACAGTATCTAGAACAATGCTGGCCATACAGTAATGATGATAAAAAGAACAACAGACATTTTATTCGGTACCCACACTGCTAGCCAGCTTGAAGTGTTGAATATATATTAGCACATGTAATCTACGAAATTACTATAGGGTGTAGATATTGATGTTATACTAATTTAGATCAGCAAAGTAAGGCACTGTATAGTTAAGCAACTTGCCTGTGACTGTAAAGCTAATTAGTAGCATATCTGAGATTTAAACCAATTTTAAAGATGATGTAGAAGGACAAGTGTAATATTGCACTCAGCTAAACTAGCTAGCCTAATCAACTTTATTTAATACCTGTGTATTAAGTATGTGTTACATGCAGGGTCGATAAACTACAATTGTAATATAATGTAATCCTTTATGGACTTTATACTTGTCTATATAGTTAGTTTGTAGAATTGACTGTAACATCTGAAGCTGGAATGTAATTTCAATTTAAAGAAGCTCCAGTGATATAATGTAATTCTTATCTTCATGGACTTTTTATACTTGTCTGTATAGTAAGTTCATAGAGTTGACTGTGACATCTGAAATTGGAATGCAATTTCAATTTAAAGAAGTTCTAGCGATAGACATAATTCATCATGTCTAATGGAAGATACTTTAAGACTTGACTGGGACCAGAGAGATACTATAGCCAATAGGTGCAGGCCTGGCATGTGGCTGACGTGGGTTTGATCACCAGTACCACTTATGTCCGCAGAGCACTGCCATGAGTGATCCTTGAGCCCAGAGCAAAAAGTAAACCTGAAGTACAGCTGTGTCAGCCCCCATAAACAAAAGAAAAGAAAACAAAACAAAACAAAGCAATAGAGAAATGTCCTGAAAGCAACCTCCAGACTACCAGTTGGTTTGGGTTCCCTAGCTGAAATGTTGCTTAAATATAGAAGCAACTACATCTAATCTTGTTATTCCAATCACAGACTGGATGTGTAGTGGACTCTGAGCATGGAATTTCTCAGGAATAGTATTGGAGTGTATGTGCTTAAAGTGAGAGGGGAAAAAAAGTGAGAGTTAGAAGACAGAATAGAAAAGTTAGAGAGTTAGAATATTTGACTAACTAATATTCTCTATTAGTCAAATATGCTGTAAAGGATGTAAAATCTGTGTACCTTTTGGTAAGTCCCTGCATATCTGATTTGGTGAAGTCCAAAAACCAATGTTCTCTTTCAATAGGTGCTCATGCCTAAATTACAGTGTTGTAATGAGACTAGGAATACTGAAAATCACTGTCACTGTCACTGTCCTCCCGTTGTTCATTGATTTGCTCTAGCAGGCCCAGTAACATTGTGAGATTTGTTATTGTGTTTGGCATACTGAATACGTCATGGGTAGCTTGCCAGGCTTTGCTGTGGGGGCAAGATACTCTTGGTAGCTTGCCAGGCTCTCCGAGAGGGGCAGAAGAATCAAACTCGGGTCGGCTGTGTCGGCTGCGTAAAAGGCAAACACCCTACCCGCTTGTGCTATCGCTCCAGCCCGAAAATCAAAGTCTCAAAAATCAAAGTCTCTTTTGTTTATTAGTTTTTCATCTCAAGTAAATTTCTGGCACTTAACATTTTTAACTCATGTTTTGTATTTCCTTTAACTCACTTTTAGGCATAATCAGGGAAATAAAGAACTGTGAATATGTACTAATAAGGAAAGTGAGAATGTTTAGAAAATATGTTTTCATAGTGCTTTAACATCAAAATACATTTATAACTGTGCTTACAGTAAAAGGTTTAAATCTTGCACATTGAATGATACACATGAAAATATACACTTAATTTTAACTGCTTTTACAAAAGGTGATGTTGAAATATGTACATTTTCCAGCATTTAAACTCTGGAAGTTAATTTTTTCTGGCAAGAAAATAGCTCAGTGGGGGTATGGTGCCGCCAGCAGGTCAATCTGTACCTGTGAGGCGAGTGCATCAGCAGCCTCATGGCGCCTTCAGACTTCCAGATACCCCAAAATTGCTGCTGTGCCTTTGGCCAGACCCCAAAAACTTGGGGCAAAGTTTATCAAGAAAGTAAACGGCCAAAAGTTAGGTATGTGGGAAACACACCCACAAACCACCTCCGGCTCAGCTATATAATTGGAGGCAAGGCCTCTTTGGTTCCTGATTGAACTGCTTAATGGACATGATCCCAGAGACTTAGAAACGAATCTCAGAACCCAGTGGCTTTAGGTAGAAATGCGTCTGGTCTCTGCAGTAGGCTACCGGTGCTGGGCCAATCCAGGTGGGAATAGGTTTCATGCCTTGGCCTATTCCCCCTGGCGGCCCAGTGGCCGCCATCCGTCAGAGGCCACTGGATAGTCACATTTGGTCCCCCAATGACGAGACACACAGGGTCTCATGGGATGAGGGTGGAGCCGGGCTTGTCCTCCCCACCCCAACGAGACCCCAGGTCATCGCCCACGAATGGCCTCTCTGGCTCCTGATCAAGCTGCTTAACGGCCATGATCCCAGAGACTCAGAAACAAATCTCGAAAACCAGTGACTTTTGGCAGAAATGCATCCGGACTCCACAGTACGTTACTGTTCCCGGGCCATCCCAGGGAGGAAAGGGTGTTGTCCCTCCGCCTGCTCCCTCTTGGCGACTTGGTGTCTGTCATCCTCTAGAGGCCATTGGACAGTCAGGCTTGGGCCCGCAGTGACAAAACTTGTTAGGTCTCACGGGATGGGGGGGGAGGTGGAGCCGGGCCTGTCTTCCCCACCCCAATGAGACCCCAAGTCATCGCCCACGAATGGCCTCTTTGGCTCCTCATCAAGCTGCTCAACGGCCATGATCCCAGAGACTCAGGAGCAGATCTCTAAACCCAGTGGCTTTTGGCAGAAATCCCTCCAAATTTAAGTGTTAAAATTTCAGAATTTCAAAACCACATAGCCCTACTGCAGCCACACGACATCATATGTTAGTCATAACCAGCAATAGAACACAAATTGTCTATTGTTGCCTTTTCAGCAGATCTAAGTGTTGGGGTAAAATCTTAAATAATGGTGGATCTGGTGTCGAAGTAGTGAATGTGATCAAAGTAGAGAGAGAGTAATGTGGAGATCATCTGCCCCACAGGCAGGGGGAGGGTGTGGGATGGGGGTATACTGGGATTTTTGGTGGTGGAGAATGGGCACTGGTGAAGGTACGGGTGTTTCATTGTATGACTGAGACTTAGACCCAAAAGCTTTATAACTCCTCTCACAGTGATTCAATAAATAAAATTATAAAAAAAAAAGAAAATAGCTCAGTGGTAAAAGCACATGCCTTGTAGTGAGTGGTTTTGATTTTTGGTATCACAAAATATGTTAATATTCACCAGTCAGCAATTATCCTTGCTTGATGATGGTTAGAGGGCTTCAGGTATGTATAATGCAATAATTAGATTCATTATTTCTATTGAACACATTTCACTACTCTCAAAACATTATAACGACATGTAGTATTTTTAAATTAATGAAGTGAAGGATATGAAAGACTCAAGAAATTTTGTTCCACCCCACATTAGAACACAGTAATTATTGTATTTTTTTAAAAAGCAGAGACAAGTGTGTTAAATTACTGAATCTTGTGATGAACCAATAGACGTAGCAGGAACATATACATGATAAAATTTATCAATAGAAAGTAAGAAACAGGACTCATGTGAAATGTTCAAGTAAAGTATATACGAAGCATTTATTTACAGATTTTGTATAACTTTGTAATCAGCCTATTGATAATTAAGAAGATTAAATTATACAGTTAGTGGTTTGTCTAATGATGCAGTTATCTTGCTTTGTTAGGGACTAACAGGACCTGATGGAGCCCCTGGCGCAGTTGGACCAAGAGGACAGAAAGTAAGTTATTCACCTGCTACTAATTGCTGGTAATTAAAAGTTGAAGTGTATTTTTGTTGTAGTGTTTGCAAATCTACTAATATGCTAAATTGAGAAGCAGCTGAAATATACTTGCTCAGCTAAAATCATGCTTTAATCAAATTGAGTGAAATTAAAAATTAAAATGGAGTTTTAGTGATTTCAATGTTGATGCAGTTTGCATATTTACATATTCATTCGGCTAAAAGCTAAGTACAATGAAGCTATTTTTATTTTCAGGGAGAACCTGGTGTACCCGGATCTCGTGGATTTCCAGTAAGTAAATGTCAAATGATGGAATTCAAAATCTCTCATCTTTAAGTAAAATTCTGTAGCTGGAATTTTTTTTTAAACACAGATTTTGACACAATTCTTAGCACAATTTTTTAAAAACATTTTAAAAATCACACAGGACTTTATGAATTACCTAGTAAGATAAGTTGTTTGACTGTCAAACAAAAAACACTGTCCTCCCGTTGTTCATCAGTTTGCTTGAGCGGGCCCAATAACCATTTTGAGACTTGTTGTTACTGTGTTTGGCATATTGAACACGTCTTGGGTAGCTTGCCAGGCTTTGCCGTGCTCTCGGTAGCTTGCTGGGCTCGGAGAGGGGCGGAGGAATCGAACCCAGCTCGGCCAGCCTGGCTGTGTGCAAGGCAAACGCCCTACCGTTGTGCTATCGCTCTGTGAATAGAAACATTTTAGAGAAATTTGAGTGTACATCATGAAATACAGATGCTCGTTTGCTGGCTGTGTTTCCCAAGACAAACTTCTTTTCACCCCCTTTTCACCCTATTTTGTTGCTGTTTGTTTTACTTTTGGGCCACACGTGGCTGTGCTCAGAGATTAGTCCTTACTCTATGCTCAGTCTGTGCTCAGGGATGACTCCTATTGGTGCTCTGGAGGTTACATGTGAGGCAATAAATGTCTTATCCTCTGTACTATCTCTCTGGCTCTCCTCCTTCTGCTCTTATTGATGGAAAATATTTCTATGTAACGAGAGCAAATCTAAGCAATAAATAGCAATAGAGTCCTTAACCACTTAACTGCACAACTGGTTTTTAATCTCTAATAAAATAATAACCTAAAGGGCTGATAGCACAGCAGTAGGGCGTTTGCCTTGTACGCAGCCAACATGGCCGACCCGAGTTCGATTCCTCCGCCCCTCTCGGAGAGCCCGGCAAGCTACCGAGAGTATTCGATATGCCAAACACAGTAACAACAAAGTCTCCAATGGAGACGTTACTGGGCCCGCTCGAGCAAATCGATGATCAACGGGAGGGCCTTTACTTTACTTTTAAAATAATAACCATCTAATATTATTACTTAGCTGCTTTTTTCCTACATGGCACAAGAAGGCACGTTTGTGTTTTTTTTCTCCTCAGATTCTTGGCTGCTTTTTCTTTGTGTATTGATTTTTAATCTTCTTTTGTTCTTGTCATTAATCTATATTTTCCCTCCATGTTCTCAATGTATACTATTTTTCTTGCCATGTTTCAGCATCTGTCAACTTTTCATTATAATCCTATTTTCAGGAGTGAATAGCTAGCTGGCCTTTCTACCATATTTTTCAACTCAGCTCAATAGTTTATAGACATGCCTCTTTAAAAATTTAGTGAAATTTATCAAACATCTAGGTCTCTGATAACAAAATAACTTATTGATTACTTCACTATTTTCAAGCATATCCCTTCTTTCCCAAATCGATCTATATATTAAACTGTTAAAATTAAAGTAATTTTTCAAAGGATGTCTTGAAAAAGCTCCAGTTATTATTGAGATATACTGCTCAAGTAAAATTCTTGCTTGCTTTAACTGCCTAAAGATTAGAAATTATACTTTAATTATCGGGAGTTATACAGGGACTCTTCTGGATGCTTCAGATAGAATACTTTAGAAAGTCTGCACTAAAAAGCTAGTATGAATAGAGCATCACCGATAACTGTGAATAAAATCTATTTAAGCCCTCGTGGGAGCGAAAACAAAAAGAGAAATCCTGAGGGGGAGGTAAGTGAACCTGGAAAGAAAAGTGAGAAAAAGGAATTCCAGGCAGCCGATGTTCAGCCTTATGATGTTCAACGAGCATATTGTTAGGGTTAATTATATTCTCGATTCTGTGCTAGTTGTTGAGGTTAGGAGTAAAATGTGGTCGCAATTTTTTAATTATATAAGTTGTTGCTAAACTAAATATAGAATGTAAAAGAGAGACAGACAGAATGACAAGCTTTAATACCACAGTCAGCATAGTGAATTAAGATCTCTTTGTTTAGGGGCTGGAGCGATAGCAGAGTGGGGAGGGGGTTTGCCTTGCATGTGGCCCACCCGGGTTCGATTCCCAGCATCCTCTATAGTCCCCTGAGTACCACCAGGAGTAATTCCTGAGCTTAGAGCCAGGAGTAACCCCTGAGCACCGCCGGGTGTGACCAAAAAAGATCCCTTTGTTTAGGCTATTTCAGGAGAACACCATTTTGTTTTCAGTATTCGTTAGATTTAACTTGGGGATGTGTTGCTGACCCTTTTACTCTCCTGTCTCTATATGTGGAATGTTTATTCCGGGAACTTGCAAACATCACATTTTGAATTGTGAAGCAGTGTGTTTTGTACTGCTTTTGATGCAGGTATCTCTAAGAGACAGAAAAATTAAAAAAAAAATAATTCAAACTGCCAGTTGTGGTGTGACTCTTTGTCAGGAATATTAAGTTCTCCTGAAGGCAAAAATGAATGATATTATTTTGATTTTCATGAAACAAAAAGTTTGAGGACTCGGGAGATAGCACTAACGGTTGCAGAACATGACGTTTGGCAGGAGCTAGGACCTGACTGTTTCTAGCTCCACTTGTTCCTCACCTCCCATTGCTGCCTTTATGGCTCAGCACTGCACCCTCTGCTCCACTGTCAGACCTAGTATCAAAGCAGCCCTGTGTACCCCGAACACTGCTTAGGCTTGCACGCTCCCTTCCAAAAAATTGGAAAAACTACTAATGATGAGTTTAGACTAAAAAGAACTTTTTTTTTTGGGTCACACCCGGTAATGCACAGGGGTTACTCCTAGCTTCCTGGTTCTGTACTCAGGAGTTACTCCTGGCGGTGCTCAGGGGACCATATGGGATGCTGGGAATCGAACCCGGTTTGTCCACGTGCAAGGAAAACACCCTACCTACTGTGCTATCTCTCCAGCCCCAAAAGGAACTTTTATAAGAGGAATATTTGCAAAACTGAAATCAGTTTCTGGTTCCTTCAGGATTAAAGCTATCTTTGTTCGTCTCCTCCAGTGCTTTCTTTATTCTGAACATTGCTATATGATTTTCTAATGAAGTTCAGTTTATTTTAAGCTGAGGGGTTTTTTTTGTGTGTGTGTCTTAATTTATACTATATGGTAATCACATACCATAATAATTCTTTTCCTATTTTAGGGACGTGGTTTACCTGGGCCTCCTGTAAGTATCATCTCAGTTTAATTTCACAAAACCTATAAACACGATCTATTTGTTTTTGATCCCACCCTTTCTCTCCAACAACCCTCAATCTTAGTTTATGATACAAATACAGTGGTGTTTATGGTATTCTACCTACATGGTTTTAGGGTGCTGCTATGAAAGGACCCTTATATCGTTAAATAATTAATTTAAGAAATTTTCATTCCATTTAAAGTAATTGCAATATAGTCAAATAATTCTATTGTCTACAGGATAACTATAATAGCATAGTATACAATATGTAGAGTATAGTATAGTATGGACTGTAGCCTATAGTGCTATAGTCTCTTTTTTAAAACCAAAGCTAGCACAAATGATAATTCTAAGTTGGTTGCTCATTTCATTTGATAGAATTTGTGACCCATTTCAAAACCATCTGTAAACAACCATGTCTTTTTGTCTTGTTGCCTTTAGGGTCCTCCTGGGGCAGCAGGACTCCCTGGAGAGTTGGGTCGTGTAGGACCAATCGTGAGTACTGTAGATCATTTTTATAGTCGTTTGATGATTTAACAGAAGGTGTTATAGGTAGAACAAATTATATTATCTTATGCCCCTTCAAACAAAGAAATGGCAGATAACTAGAATGAACTGAGGTTCATTATAATAGCGGGGACTAGGGATAGTAATACTGCCTTCATTTTTAGAAAAGAAAATTATGAACTAAAAATGATAAGAAGTTTTTAGCTAAACTTTTCTTCCTAACTTCCAGAGTAGGTGAGGAACAGGAATCTCACCTTCATTTTACAGATTCTCATCCAGGACTAGGATCCAGTAACTTTTACATCAGACTTCCTGAAATGAAAAGGAAACAGCTTAGAATTATAGTAATGTATTTTTATAATTAATCCTATAAAATATAACATTTGGCAACAGAGAGCTGAACTTTATAGAAGAAATGCCTGGTAAATGTTTGATGTTAATATTTAGCTATTTAAATATGTTAAGGTGATGGCATTGCATAAAGATAAATAACTGTAAACCTATTAAGAGGAGCTATATATTATAGACTATTCTTGTTTATATGTGCTTTCTAGTTGATAAATATATTGGACACATAAATGTGAAATAATTGTGAAGTTAAAGTAATCACAAGATGCTTAAATGTTAAGAGTATGCCAAAATATTAAGAAGAAAAACACAAATCAGAATTAATTTTTTTTAACAACTACAAAGCTTTCATGTTTGAGTTTCAGTCATACAATGATCAAACATCCATCCCTCCACCAGTGCACATTCTCCACCACCAATGTCCCCAAAATACACCCCCTTTCTAACCCTCCCCCTGCCTCTATGGCAGACAGTTTCCCCCATACTCTCTCTCTCTACTTTTGGGCATTATGGTTTGCAGTACAGATACTGAGAAGTTATCACGTTTGGTCCTGTATCTACTTTCAGCACACATCTCCCATCTTGAACAATTAAGACTAATTGGAACCCATTTCTATCTGAATGGCTTATTTGAATTTAGTCATTTTTTGATTTACTCCATTTGCAAGACTGCTGTGGCAGACCAAATGTTATACTTTGTGGGTTCCACAACAGTATGTAGAGTCAGTTTCTATAGGGACTAATTGTATTTAGTAGCTTCAGACTGGGTGCAAGCTTTCTTTTGCTATGAGTAACTGAATGGCACTAGCTGTGTTGGTTCTCCAAGCTTCTCTGTAAATCAGCTAGAAAAATACGTAGTATTTCTATCATGTTTTTTGCATGGAGAACATGATTATTCCACAGAGGAAAAGTTGACTTTGCTGTTTTTCTTTTTGTTGGTCCATCTCTCCCTCTGCCTTCTTTTCTTGTCTTGGTGAGAGTGAAATTCCTTTTTTCTGGTTTTCTGCAGAACTAGTTATGGGCCTTTCGTTGATATTAGTAGCAGGCCTGTTCATAGTTGAGCTCTGTAGAAATTTCTCTAATATCATTCTCTTTTGCCTCATCAGTTTTGGGGCTGTGTTTTGACAAGTGTATAATCATTGTGTTACAATTTTAAAATATCAGGGTGACCCTGGAAGACGAGGACAACCTGGCCCCCCTGGTCCCCCAGGACCCAGTGTAAGTGTTTTGCATTTCTCTTCATCTAAGAGTTGGAATTAAAGAAACCTAAGAACCAAAAGTGGAAGTACCTATTAATTAATCGTTCTTAATGAAAAAAATAGCTAACGTGTTTTTCATCTAGTCATAGCAAGGGTCTTTCCTCGTGGAAAAAATATAGAAAACTCAATTATTTTTAAGGTTATTTTAATAAGCAAGGATTATTCATTATCTTTTAAGAGCCTTTTTATGCTTATAATTTTACAAATTCTCAGAATTAGAACATTATAAAGAAATATTTTCATATGAACTAGTTTTCATAAAGAATTTATAAAGTAAGAGGTTTAAGAATAGGATTTTAAGTAGGAGGTAACCCATATTTTTAATTAATGGTTCACAGTTCCCTATGTTTGTATTCTATCTCTCATTTTTTTTCAATCTCCTGAAAGATTTAGTTAACTGCAATTTAGCGTTCTCCTAAAGAAACATGCCTGTGTGTCACATTTTTAGAATATTAGCATATTATGTGATGTCTGCTCTTTATTGAATTTTTATTTATTTCATTTTTGTCCAATGAACTGTGACTGGGAGTTCTGAATTGAATATTCACAATCTTAACTTTTAATCTTCTCTTTACTTTAGGGGACAATTGGATTTCATGATGGAGATCCATTGGTAAGCTGGTGTCCTTTCAAAATTTTTAAGCTGGTTTAAGCCAAAGACCATAATCTTAAGACAAGTTCCTTAAAAAAAATCTTGTTTGAATAGATACTGGAATCCCATATTTTTACTGCACTTTTACTCAGTAGAACAGTCATTAGTCTAAGTAGACTGGTGGTGTATATTCAGTCTGACTGTTAACATTTTTGGTCTATCTTTAAAAAAGATTATAAAGGAGTCTGCTTTTTTCATACTCTTCATTGCTTATTACTAAGGCATGATTTTTACCAAGGGCCCCCATTTTAGAAGCTACAATTCAAATTATTCTCTCTGAGATTTGTTTTACTTATGGACCAATATTAAAGAACAAAATGATGATAAATACAGTTTGCTTATTTTGATTAGGGGTTGTGAATCTTAACAGAGAGCTAACAAATCAGACATGGAATATCTGGAAACATTTTATTTCTTTAGTAGTTTAAACCTGAAATAAATTTTGCAAAATATTAAGATCTATTAAATTTGTATGATGGATATATAGAAGGCTTTAAAAAATTCCCTGTACTTTTCTGTAAGCTATGAATATTTCATTAAAAATTAAATTTAAAAAGAAAAGGAGCATCTAGAGTTATTTAATAAATATAATCACAGTAAATTTTTTTGTAGCTGGCTTACCTAAAAAGAAAGAAAAAAACCCCAACACTACTTTGATGCATAGTTGAGGCTCCAGTTTATGTTGTTCCTCTTTTTTTCTTCCTGGCAGTGTCCCAATTCCTGTCCACCAGGTCGTTCTGGATATCCAGGCCTACCAGGCATGCGGGTAAGAGAATCATTTCAGTTTTTTATTTCCAACAGTATTAGCAATAGTCCAAGTGAAGCCTTTATATACTGACCTTCTTAGTGTGGAGATGCCAACTGCAGAGATGGCTCTTGGATGAATTAGGCAAGTCTGTGTTTTACTAATTCTATTGTTTAGTCTGTACTTCCTATTCAGTTTTAGAAATTTCACTGGCAGGTCGATCAGTGTTTGTTGGATTACACAGTGCATCTGTTAGTTGGGGAAACTATACCAATAAAATGCATTCGATTTAGAGACTCAGGATATCAAACCAAAGTTTAGAAAATTGTCTCCCATTTAGGGAAATGGGAAGGTAGGGCAGATTGTACTCCTAATAGCTTTGAAACACTTTTAAAAAATAAAAATATGGAAAAACAACAAAATAGGTAAGAAAAGGCACTTTACAATGTGTTTTTCACTACTTCTGCCATCATAATTGCTGCAAGCTTTCACTTAAAAAAATGAATTTACTCTGGATAGAATGATTCTCTTTCTAGTCTATGAGTCTAAAGTCTTATTGTCTAAAGTCTTTTTGTTTTATTTTATGATTTTTATACATTTTATTTTCATAAGGTAGTTCACAGTAGTTCATTACAGATAATATTCAAACACCCACCCAACCAGCAAGCAACTTCCCACCACAGTAAGAGGGAAGTGTGTGAAGGTTGTTGTATTTCATTCTGGGGCCATTTAAGCCCGTATATACAAAAATACAAACAAGTATGTTAAAACCAAATACATGTGCCCTATTTTAGGTACATCAGTGAGCTAGAGTATAAGAGGTCTGGAGGCCCTGTACTCTTGGAGATTGATTCTGCCTTGCTCTCTTCCGGGAGGTTTATTTATAGTCTCTGGATCTTGGCCGTTGATGAGATTACATGGCACTGAGGGTGGTTTGTGGGTGTGGCTGCCAGGCTACTGGAAAACGGGGGACCTGAGTGGAAGAGGCCCAGTCCCAATATGAGCAGACTTGGAAATCTGAGCCATGGGTCCCGCATACCTGGGTTCCTCTGTCGGTTCCTTCATGGGTGAGGCTCATCCCAGCATGTGGAGTGTGGCCTTGAGCATGGCTATGGCCGAGTTCTGTAGGATTTTGGCTGCCGGGGCTCTGCTTGCGGCAGGGAGGGAAACTCAACTCTAAAGTCTTTTTGAATAAAACAGTACAGAGGAATAAAATTCTGCTATGAACTGGAAGGTCTCAAAACACTGATTTTTTTTTTTTTGCTTTTTTGGGTCACACCTAGCGATGCTCAGGGGTTACTCCTGGCTCTGCACTCAGGAATTACTCCTGGCCGTGCTTGGGGGACCTTATTGGCTGCATGCAAGGCAAATGCCCTACCTGCTGTGCTATCGCTCCAACCCCAGATAATATATATATATATATATACATATATATTTTAATGTAGGAGTAGTGCTATTTATTCAACTGAATGATTAGCTGATTGAATTAGGCATGAACTCCACATTAGATAAGTTTTTATGGGTATCCACAGCTTTAAAAGATTTGGTCCTGGATCAGTGTCTTATTTTTGGAAGTCTTGCACTTGAGAGAGGATCAGTGTCTTATTTTTGAGTACAGTCCTGGATCAGTGTCTTATTTTTGGAAGTTTTGCACAAGAGAGGCACTGTGAGTAAAATTTTTGGTAGATTTAGTTTTGGAATATTCATTTCACATTAGCCTCATATTATTATCCACATCTCACCTATACCAAGGGCAGAAAACACCAACCTAACAAAAAGAGATAAGGATTTTCTTTTCAAGTCTTCAGTGATTATCTTTTGTATCTTTTAAAATTATTAATTATCTAGTGAGGATAATTGTCTGGAGAGAAGCCTGTAGAGAGCAACATGTAAGCCATTCAGCTAGTTCTTGGTATCTCTGGAAAGTAAGGTACTGATAGCAGAGAAGACTTAATACTCTTCACTCAAATGGAGGGAAAATTAGAAAAAGAAGATATCTCCAGAATCAGCAGGCAAATGCCAATGAGTTGTGTGACTGAATTAGATGATGGAGGCTTTGTTATTTTAGAACAGTTTTCTTCTATTAGCTAAATATGATATCTATTAATATAGATACATATGGAATAATATATATATATATAGTATTATGAAAGTTGATTAAGGTAGTCATTTTCTTCGTGACATTACCTTTTCCTTAGCATACTGACACAGATTTAAAGAAGCATGCTCACTTTATGAACTTTGTGATGATCTTATGTGTCTTTTTTCCACTTTCTTGTCTAGCCAAATGCAATTATTAATTTATTTATGTTTGTACTTCTTAGGGTCATAAAGGGGCTAAAGGAGAAATTGGTGAACCTGGAAGACAAGGTCACAAGGTAAGGGGAAATTAGTGTTTAGTTGGTAAGTTGTAGTTAGTCAATAATGACCAGGTTTATTAAAAGGAATTTTAAGACATCATAAAGAATACTTAGTCTTTTCCTTTCAAATGATTATTGACAATTTTCATTTGTAGATGTGTCAATATTCTGACTAAGCAGAATACTTACAAAAAACCATCCAATTACAAAAATGCAGAGTACTGTACATTTTCATTTTTTACTGTATTGCTACCCTTGCATTCTTTTTCAGATCAATCACACTCAGCATTTTTTTGATGCTTTTGATAGTCAAATGTTATTCATCTGGTTTGTTCTACTCCACTAAACAAAATTTTATGACAAGTGTAAAATTTTATGACAAGTGTTGCTGAGACTAGCAAACAGAAGAGTTGGTAGTTGGCTTATAGCTTCTCAAGTTCTGAACTAATTTTTCTATTTGCTTCTGATCTCATTTCAATATAGTTTTTGAGTAATCTAGAAACTGGCAAGAGGACTTAGAATATTATGTATACAAAAAAACTGGAGCACTCAGCAGAAACTTGCAATGGGGCTGGCATGTCTTGTAACACCATGTCTGAAATGTAAAGCAAAACGATCTCTGCCCTTTTTCCATCCACAGTGTTAAATTGCCTTTAAGAGTCCCAGAATCTGACTTCTTGCATAATAATTTTTCATCTCTTAATTTTATAATATTTTACAAAGTCAAAATGTTCCTTTCAATAGGGCCCTCTATACTTTGTTTATTATGTCTTACATTTTCCTTGTGTAGTGAGAAAAGATTAGTCTTTTTCCTTTGGAAGTTAAGTGTTAGATAATTTGCAAAAATCTTTTTATTTCTGAAAGTAGAAAAGTTTATTGGAAAGTAGAAGAAAAAGGAAAAGGAAATGCCCATGTGGGAGGAACTTAGTATGGGACTAAGATTGCAAAAATCTTTATGCCATTAGTATCTTTGAATGCCTTAGCAAGCATCAATCTGTTGAATAACCTGAAATATTTAGGAAAAGTAAGTTCATTTTATATTTTATAGTAAAAAAAATTTATTTTAAAAAAAGTTGGACTTTTAGGAGTATTATCTTTGATTCTGAATGTTCAAGGCATTTTATTTGTTTGTAATTGAACAATTTGGGATTTAATATAAAATTGTAGAAAATGGAGTAAAATGGAAATTTCTCTGTGTTACTCCACTGAGTGTTAAGATAAATAATTTAAAAAATTCTACAAAGATTTATTAAGAACATGCTATGTGCTGGTTTCATTTTAAGTCAGATCATACAGATGAAAAAATATGTCCAATCGCAGGGGACTTGTTAAATCAAATATCACATATTCATGTACTAAAATATTTATCCGCAGAGTTAGGTGTACAAGACTATCAAATTGCACCAAAAGATACCCATGAGATACTATTTACAAGTAAAGCAAATATGGTTAATTTACATTATTTTTTATGCTTTATATCCCTTTCTCCTCCTTACTTTTAGGGGCAACATCCACCTCACTGTATAAAATTTGGGGATAGTCTGTTGACCAGTGGGCTGGAGTGATAGCACAGCGGGTAGGGCGTTCGCCTTACAAGCGGCCAACATGGCCGCCCCGAGTTCGATTCCTCCGCCCCTCTCGGAGAGCCTGGCAAGCTACCGAGAGTATTCGATATGCCAGACACAGTAACAACAAAGTCTCCAATGGAGACGTTACTGGGCCCGCTCGAGCAAATCGACGATCAACGGGAGGGCCTTTACCTTTTACCTGTTGACCAGAGCATCTTGCCATCCCATCTCCCATGAATCTAAATTTTATTTTATACCTGTAATACCTGTAGTATGTAGGTCCTGCAACTTAGTTTTGTATTCAGTGAGCATAGAGAGAGAGACGAGAGAGAGAAAGAGATGATAGAGCGAGAGAAAGAGAGAGAGAGAATACGTGTGTGTGTGTGTGTGTGTGTGTGTGTGTGTGTGTGTGTGTGTGTGTTAGGTAACCTGCCAAACTTTTCACTGAAAGTTGTTGAGAAGTCTTCTAATTTAGTTCACATGTTTTTGTCACATAAACTTCCAGTGGTCTGCTTGAAAACCTGACATAGAAAAATATGATAATAGCATATTAGAAGTTAATATTAAAAGGGTTAATAAATGCACTGAGCAATAAACTGAAAGCAAAGTGAGTGAGATTTGAGAAACTACAGGTATGATTTTATATCTGACTTCACAATTCTGCCTCAAATTTACTTTGCAAAACCATTAATAAGGATAAAAGTTTTAAAAAATAAATATAGGAGTGACTAGTCCAGTCTTTCACTGTATTAAAAATAGGGCTAAATTGCCTCTTCTTAATTTGTTCTTAATTTTACTATAGGGTTATTAATTACTTGTGCATTTTTTATCTATTAGTGAGGTGTTTAAATTGAATATATTACTCCAACATTTGTTTGGAACCTGTAGGAAAATACTCCAAACCCAGTTAATTAAGTGGACTGATTAATCATTGTTGTCTTTGTAGTTAGGTAGGAAAATGCAAGTGTCATTAAATTACTTCCCCATATTTATTATCCTGACCATGATCTAGCTAATTCCACCTGGACTTTGGACTGGCTCTCTCTATATTGTCAATCACACCTATTTTTTTTTTAAATTTTTGTGGGTCTCTCAAGCAGAGCTTAGAGAGCCTTGGGACCACTTCTGACAATGCTCAGCCAGCTTGGACAGATGACTCAATGCTGGACCCTGTGGTACTGCAGACCACTGGACCTACCTGTCACATTGGAAGTGCCTGGGGGACATGTGGTGCTGTGAACAGAACCTGGGTTCCAAGCATTCAGGTCTCGATCCCTGTACTACCTCCTGGTGCAGTAAATCTTTTTTTTTTTTTTATGAGAATGATGAATCTAAAATCCCTATTTAAGAGTCTCATAATTCTTTCTTTTTTTTTAATTTTTCTTTTTGGGTCACACCCAATGCACAGGGGTTACTCCTGTCTCCACAACTCAGGAATTACTCTTGACGGTGCTTAGGGAACCATATGGGATGCTGGGAACTGAACCCGGGTCAGCCGTGTGCAAGGCAAATGCCCTAATTGTTCCAGCCCTGATTCTCATAATTCTTAAAAAAAGTCAAGAATAAACAGCTCAGGCATTGTCTAGTTCTAAGTATTATATTCCAATTGCTTTAAATCAATACTGCTATTAGATTTTCTGTATTTCCTGTGTGTATACATGTATAAATCTAAATAAAAGTTATAGTTTGTAGAGCAAAAACATGGGTGATTTGAAACATATAATAAACATTATAAATGGGATCTTATCTCATAATATTCTCATAACATCAAAAATAAAGATTTAACCTCATAATTAATTTCATAATTTAAAATATTAATCATCACAGGAAATGTTGGGCAGTATGTCAAAGAGTAAAATCCTAGCCAGAGAAATAACCTTTTTTTTTTTCAGAATGTATAGTTATTCTGTAAGAGACAGTACTTGTATTTTTTTTGAATATTCTAAAACTTTCTATGAGTGAAATCTAAATTTCTCTCTTGGAGAGCCTGGCAAGCTAGCAAGAGTATCCCACCCACACGGCAGAACCTGGCAAGCTACCTGGCATATTTTATATGCCTAAAACAGTAACAAGTCTCACAATGGAGATGTTACTGGTGCCCATTCGAGTAAATCAACGAACAACGGGAGGACAGTGTTAATACAGTGCTAATATTCTGTATCACTGTATCACTGTCATCCCATTGTTCGTTGATTTACTCGAGCAGGCGTCAGTAACATCTCAATTCCTCCCAGCCCTGAGATTTTAGCAGCCTCTTCTTACTCATCTTTTCCCAATGATTGGAGGCTCTTTCAGGGCCAGGGTAATGAGAGCTGTTGTCATTACTGTTTTTGGCATATCGATTATGCCACGGGGAGCTTGCCAGGCTCTGCCCATGTGGGCAGGATACTCTCGGTAGCCTGCTGGGCTCTCCGAGGGGCATATATTTATATATTTCTTTCTATGATTTGTTCTCTACTGTCTGAACCCCATCAAGTATGGCGTGGTAATTATGGAAAATGGGTAGGAAGTGTCTTATAATGTGTCCAGGAATATGCGAGACTTGGGCCGAGCGTGTAGAAAGCGGCCTGAAGCGTGGTGGTCGTTGGATAGTGGAGGTCAGCTATTGGGGCTGGGTCCCTTGGGTTGGGGAGGGCTTTCACCCACCCCCCCTCTGGAGCGCCCCAAGTGAAATAGTCTGGCATGGAGTCTGGTGGCATGGTTATGGGGACCTCATTTTATACTCCTGTCTGGGAGGAGGAGCTGTGAGTTCTGGAGGGTGGCCGATGAGGAGGTTATCTGGTGACAGCAGGGTGTGGCTTATGGGTGTGATCCCTGGGTCACTGGAGACTAGGGGAAGCAGGCAGAGGATCTCTGCACCTTGTCCCATGGAGTCCAGAGTCCAAGGTCACAAAGTTCCACATTTTCTGGGTTCCGTGGGACGTCATTCATGCATGAGGCTAATATTCTAAAATTTTAAAAATGTATGAGGTTTTAAAATTAGTATTATGAAGTCAGGACAATAATTGAAAACATAGTGGAAGATTGCATTAACACTAGCAACAAAATAGTCAAAATGCCTTAGAACAAGCAAGTAATTAAAGACTAATATGAAGAAATGAACATATTATTGATGAAAAGTATTTGATTACATAGGGATATACATTAAATGTAATTAATTAATATTGCAAATATTCTATTTTTCATATTGTTTTTAATACAAATATATTACAACTAGTATTTTTGTGAAGATTTAGTCAACAATTTTAAAGTTCATCTAGAAGTGTAACCATTTAGGAAAATTTTAAAAAATTAAAAAAAGGGTGAGTAACTCTCAATGAAAAATAATGTTAAAGGAATAAACTAAAACTGTTGGGAGAAATATAGATAAATATTGATTAATTTGGGAGTCGGAGAGGATATTCTATGAGTGAAATCTAAATATAAGACAGAAAAGACATCAAAAGGCTAACTATATTTAAAAATCTCATAAATGCAAAAATAATTATATAAGCACTGTAGCACTGTCCTCCTATTGTTCATCAATTCGCTTGAGTAGGCACAAGTAATGTTACCATTGTGAGACTTGTTGTTGCTGTTTTTGGCAAATCGAATATGCCACAGGGAGCATTTCAGGCTCTGCTGTGCGGGCGGGATACTGGTAGCTTGCTGGGCTCTCTGAGAGGGACGAAGGAATCGAACCTGGGTTGGCCACGTGCAAGGCAAATGCCCTACCCGGATGTGAGAGTGATCTGGCTGCGACATCTGTCACCCTATTGATTGACAGGGTTGATTCAACTGATCTGGCTGGTTAGGCAGGTGTCCCCTTCCTTGCTCACCGCTCCATGTGTGTCCCTCCCGAACCTGCACCTGTGCATGTTGTATTCTGTCAAAGAGTACGGCCTTCCCTGAATAGAGACAGACCAGTCTTCCCTCACGGGTATATGAATAACTGCACTCCCCTGCTAGAACCTCCAAACAAGCTCTCAATTTTATAACTTAAAAAATAAAAATCACATTTGTAGTTGCTGGACAAATAGTCATAATTTGATCACATTTTCTTATTAATGCACTCTTCACACTGCACACACATATGTGATACATGAAGAGGTATCTCTCCTTTTCCTTCTCTTCCTCCTCTATATCCTTCTCCCTCCCTCTCTTTGCCTTACCCTGTTCTCTATAATAACTTGGAAGAGACGGTATCTAACTTATTTATAACAGAATGGTTAGATTTGAGTGACATTATCGATAAATTTTTTTGTGCTTTCTAAGTGTTCTATAATGAAAATGGATTACTCAACTCATTTAAAACAGTGTTTTCAAGTGCTGCACAATACTTTTGAGAATGCAAATGAGTTCACGGATTTAGTCTTAACTTATTCCTATGTTTATTTATTAGAATAACATTTGTGGTGCTTTTCTTTGTTGTTTTCTAGGGTGAAGAAGGTGACCAGGGAGAACCAGGAGAAGTTGGAGCTCAAGGACCTCCAGTAAAGTTTTTTTTAAATATATAATCAGGATATACAGATTTTTTTAAATGTCTTTTGAAATATACTCTACTTGACATTTAGATAAATGGGCTGGAGCAATAGCACAGTGGGTAGGGCGTTTGCCTTGCAAACGGCCAACATGGCCGACTCGAGTTCGATTCCTCCACCCCTCTCGGAGAGCCTGGCAAGCTACCGAGAGTATCTCGCCCACATGGCAAAGCCTCGCAAGCTACCCGTGGCGTATTTGATATGCCAAACACAGTAACAATTGTTACAATGGAGACGTTATTGGGCCCACTCAAGCAAATGGATGAACAATGGGAGGACAGTGACAGTGACCACTTGTATGTAAATTTCATGACTTCATCTTTTCTAACAGCTACATAGTACTCCCTTGTGTAGATGTACCAAAGTTTCTTTAACCAGTCGTCTGTTCTCGGGCACTCAGGTTTTTTTTCCAGATTCTGACTATTGTAAAGAGTGCTGCAATGAACAAACAAGTGCAGATGTCACTTCGACTATACTTTTTTGCCTCTCTGGGATATATTCCCAGGAGTGGTATTGCTGGGTCAAATGGGAGCTCAATTTCTAATTTTTTGAGAATCGTCCATACTGTTTTCCAAAAGGGCTGTACCAGTCGGCATTCCCACCAACAGTGAAGGAGTGTTCCTTTCTCGCCACATCCGCACCAACAGTGGTTGCTTTTGTTCTTTTGGATGTGGGCCAGATTCTGCGGTGTGAAATGATATATCATTGTTGTTTTGATCTGCATCTCCCTGATGATTAATGATGTAGAGCATTTTCTCATGTGCCTTTTAGCAATTCGGATTTCTTCTTTAAGAAAGTTTCTGTTCATTTCATTGCTCCATTTTTTGATGGGGTTAGATGTTTTCTTCTTGTGGAATTCAGCCAGTACCTTGTATATCCTTGATATCAACCCCTTGTCAGATGTGTATTTGGTGAATATCTTTTCCCATTCTGAAGACTGTCTTTGTATTTTGGTCACTGTTTCTTTTGAGGTGCAGAAGCTTCTTAGTTTAAGATAGTCCCATTTGTCTATCTCTGTTTTCACTTGCTCGGCCAGTTGTGTGACACCTTTGAAGGTACCATTAGCTTCAATACCATGGAGAGTTTTGCCAACTTTGTCTTCAATGAACCTTATGGATTTTGGTCTGATGTTGAGGTCTTTAATCCATTTTGATCTTACTTTTGTACATGGCTTTAGGCAGAGATCTGAGCCCACTTTTTTGCATGTAGCTGTCCAGTTTTGCCAGCACAATTTGTTAAAGAGGCTTTCCCTGCTCCACTTCACTTTTCTTGCCCCCTTATCGAAGATTAGATGATAATATGCTTGGGGGGAGATGTCAGTGTATTCAACCCTGTTCTATTGGTCTATAGTTCTGCCTTTGTTCCAGTACCATGCTGTTTTAATTATTACTGCTTTGTAGTAGAGTTTGAAGTTAGGGAGGTTGATTCCTCCCATTTTCTTTTTCCCAAGGATTGCTTTAGCTATTCGTGGGGGCTTATTGTTCCATATAAATTTCAGGAGTGTTTGTTCCATTTCTTTGAAGAATATCATGGGTATCATAATAGGGATCATATTGAATTTTTACAGTGCTATGGGAAGTATTGCCATTTTGACAATGTTAATTCTTCCGATTCATGAACTGGGGATATTTTTCCATTTCCTCGTGTCCTCTTTTATTTCCTGAAGTAGCGTTTTGTAGTTTTCTTTGTACAGGTCCTTTACTTCCTTAGTTAAGCTGATTTCTAGGTACTTGATTTTTGGGGACACAATTGTGAACAGGATTGTTTTCTTCATATCACTTTCTTCTCTTTCACTGTTTGCATATAGGAAAGCCATGGACTTTTGGGTATTGATTTTATAGCCTGCAACTTTACTAAAAAATATGGAACGCTTCATGAATTTGCGTGTCATCCTTGTGCTGGGACCATGCTTATCTTCTCTGTATTGTTCCAATTTTAGTATATGTGCTGCTGAAGAGAACACTGTTTTCTCTTTAGAAGATGTATGGCATGGATATATTTCCTCCCATTTTCTCTTTTTTTCAGTGATAGTTTCTGTTTTCTCTTGACATGTAGAAACTTTTAGTTTGATATAATCTCATTTCTTTTTGCTTTTAATATGCCAATTGAGTTAAATCACCAAAATGTCACTGAAGTCAATTACTTGCGTTTTTTTTCTTTGATGTATTTATGGTTTGGGATCTTACATCTAAGTCATTAGCCCATTGTGAGTTAACTTTTGGACATGGTGTGAAATAGTGAACCAATTTAATTGTTTTGTATGTAGCACTGTCCTCCCGTTGTTCATCGATTTGCTCGAGTGGGCCTAGGAATGTCTGGACTATTAAGTCACATGGGAATTGTGAGGGAATCTGGAGACCAGGGTATTTGTTTTAGAATCCTGCCTTTCCTGAGCCTTTCATAATGAAATATTAAGAAGCTATACATTTCTCAGGTAGAGGATTGAGATAAGTTGTGTAGGAGATATATACTATTATATCTTAATAACATAGCTTAAAGTTATTTTTATTTTAAATCCCCAACGTTTTTTGGATAGGATTTTTCAAGCATTCTTTGAAAAAATGTTTTTCAACTGGAGAAATAAAACAGAAGCTAGGGCAAATACCTACAGTAGTCAACTCAGATTGGATCTCTAGCATAACATCTGCCCTATGATCCAAGTGGTCCATTGGGGGAATAATGTTAGTGCTTGTTGAACTTCTGGGTAGTAATGAATATGACCAAAAAAAGTGTCTTTTTAAATATAAGTGCATCTGTAAAACTGGCAGGGCTAGAGAGATAGTACTGCGGGTGGGGTGCTTGCCTTGCACCCAGCAGATCTGGGCTTAATTCCCTGCTACCCATATGGCCCCCAAATCCATGAGCAGTGTTACCTGAATGCAGAGCCAGGTGTAAACCCTAGAATGGCTGGGTGTGTTCCAAAACCATAAAGCAAAAGTTAATTATTGAAAAGTTTGTGTTTGGGGCTTAAGCCGAGTAACCTGTATGTACCTCAGAGTTTGACTTTCAAAACATTGATAATTTCCCTTTGGTCAAACGAAGCTACATTGTATAAGCTTTCTGGTTAATTACTTTGTAAGGATTTTCATGATTATTATACTGTGTCTGTGCTAAATACCTAATCTAGACCAGTCAATAAAAAGGTTGAAAGCATAAGAAGAGTCATGTAGATCACTGTGATTTTATGGGTGAACAGAGCTTGCTAATTGTTAATAATACCAGATATTAGATTTTTAATTTTTTACCTTAATTATTCTAATTTTATCAGCCCTATTAAAAGTATTTTAAGGCTTTGCAGGCTTATTTCTGAGTAATAAAATATATAATATTTACCCTAAAATTCAAGTTCAACTGCGCTAATAGAGTGCTGAAGCCGGGGAGATGCAAAGCGCTGGACACAGGGCTGGGCGGTTGGGGCGTGGGGCGCATTACCATTAAGATTTAGGAACCGATTTTCCTTTTCTTCTATTTTTTTTTTCCTTTTTGGGTCACACCCGGCGACGCTCAGGGGTTACTCCTGGCTCTGCACTCAGGAATTATTCCTGGCGGTGCTCGGGGGACAATATGGGATGCTGGGAATCGAACCCGGGTCAACGGCGTGCAAGGCAACCGCCCTACCCGCTGTACTATCGCTCCAGCCCCGATAGCACAGCGGTAGGGTGTTTGCCTTACAAGCCGCCAACATGGCCGACCCGAGTTCGATTCCTCCACCCCTCTCGGAGAGCCCGGCAAGCTACCGAGAGTATTCGATATGCCAGACACAGTAACAACAAAGTCTCCAATGGAGACGTTACTGGGCCCGCTCGAGCAAATCGACGATCAACGGGAGGGCCTTTACCTTTACCTTTACCCTAAAATTACAAAAGCTTTTTATAACTATATAATAAATTTCTACTAGGCATATAGTCTAAAGAATGACTTTCTTTCTCTATCCTTTCCTTTCTTCTTTGTTAGACTCCCAAATAGTAAGAGAATATAAAAGTGAGCAAAATCCTTCCAAAAGTTTAAAGTTTTTCACCATGTAATTATAACATATTTTTAAAAAGTAGAATATATTTTAGAATTATAATAGCAGAAATAAAACCTTGAACTTTATGCACAAGTTCTGTCCTTTAAATTTTTTTCTTTTTGGGTCACATCTGGCGATGCACAGGGGTTACTTCTGGTTCTGCACTCAGGAATCACCCCTGACGGTGCTCAGGGGACCATATGGGATGTTGGGAATCAAACTCGTGTCGGCCGCGTGCAAGACAAACGCCCTACCCACTGTGCTATTGCTCCAGCCCCTAAAGTATTAATCTTGAGAAAATTTTTTTTGAGTTCTTATGTCATTCATATATTTATTGACTCAAAATACATATATTTGTATATTAAGAATTATTTTTGTGAACTTATCTTCAGAGAGAGCAGCTTTATTCTTAAGTGACTTCTTCTCACATCACATATCTTAGGTAGCTGTCCTCAGCTGAATCATCCCATCCATTTGAACATCAGTTGATTCCTCATTTATCTAGACAGAACTTGACACAGATTTGGATGCAGGATTAGCCTTGGAATAGCCCCATTTTCTCCAACAGAGGACAAAAAGGAAAAAGCATGGCTAAATGTTCTATCTTTAGTTATTTTGAGAGTTACTTTGAAATTCTGCCAGAAGCAGCTATCCCACTTTCCTGATGAATCATCCACCCACTGCTGTACCCCAGGGAACCCGCAGGCGCTCAGCCCTCCATGAATGCTCCCCGTTTCCGGATCTCTACTGCTGTGGGGCTAGAGAGACAAATTGACAACTATTTTTTTTTTTTTTTTGCTTTTTGGGTCACACCGGCAATGCTCAGGGGTTACTCCTGGCTCTGCACTCAGGAATCACTCCTGGCAGTGCTTGGGGGACCATATGGGATGCTGGGAATCGAACCTGGGTTGGCCGCGTGCAAGGCAAAAGCCCTACCCACTGTGCTATTGCTCCATCCCCCAGATTGGCAACTTTTTTTAAATTTGTTTTTTTTTATTAAAAATTTTTTTAATAGTGAGACACCATGAGGTAAAGTTGCAGACTTACACATTTTTGTGCTTGGGTTTCAATTATACAATGATCAAATACCCATCCCTCCACCAGTGTCCATTTCCCACCACCACAGATCCCACTGTCCCTCGCACGCCCCATCCCCCCCATCCCACCCTGCCTCTGTGGCAGGGCATTCCCTTTTGTTCTCTCTCTCTTATTGGGTGTTGTGGTTTGCAAAAGAGGCAATGGGTGACAATCATGTTTAGTCTATAGTCTACTTTCCGCATGCTTCTCCCATCCTGGGAGGATCCTCCCAACACCTTTATTTGGTGTTCCCTTCTCTATCTGAGCTCCCTTTCCCCCTAGTATGTGTGGTTGGCCTCCAAGCCATGGAGTAAAATTCCTGGTACTAATGTCGGCCATTCTTGGGTGTTAGTTTCCTATTTTGTTACTTAATGTTCCCCAGATGAATGCAATCTTTCTGTGTCTATCCCGCTCTTTCTGACTCATTTCGCTTAACATGATACTTTCCATGTGTACCACTTGTATGTAGATTTCATGACTTCGTCTTTTCTAACAGCTACATAGTACTCCATTGTGTAAATGTACCAAGCAACGTTTTTTTGGGGGACCACACCCAGCAATGCTCAGGGGTTACTCCTGGCTCTGCACTCAGGAATTACTCCTGGCGGTGCTTGGAGGAACATATGGGATGCCGGGGATTGAACCCAGGTTGGCTGTGTGCAAGGCAAGTGCCCTACCCGCTGTACTATCTCTCTGGCCCTGAGATTGGCAACTCTTGATGTGAAAGGATCCTAGAAACTTTGAAAGGATTATAGAAACTTTACTCCACAACTTTATTGTGTAGGATTACCCATGTGCCATTGAAAGCACAGGGTAGGTAATCCTAAATTATGTTACAGGGTAGATAATCCTAAAACATGTTTTCATGCCCCAGATTGGAAATCAGAATGCCCTTTATGAGATAAATAGTGCAATGAATAATTACTACAAGTGGCTGTGAGTGGGTCAAAAAATCTTCACAGTTTTGAAAGGGTTTTGCCATTAGAAGAATTATCCCTGGATTTTTCTTTCTAAACTATAAAATTTTATTTATATACTATCACTATTTCTTTTTTATTTCTCAGAATATTGCAATATTATTTTATGTCCACCTCAAGAGGGTCAGGATCATGTGCCAGAATCATAATTTATGTTAACATTTATGATTTTGACGGACACAGTTACTTGACCACCATCACCAAAGTATAATGTTTTAATTTTTAGTATTATCTTTGGTTAGAGCGTTTGCCTTGCACGTGTCTGACCTGGGTTCGATTCCTCCATCCCTCTCAGAGAGCCTGGCAAGCTACTGAGAGTATCCCGCCCACACAGCAGAGCCTGGCAAGCTCCCTGTGGCCGTATTTGACATGTCAAAAACAGTAACAAGTCTCGCAATAGAGACTTTACTAGTGCCCACTCGAGAAAATTGATGAACAACTGGAGGACAGTGCTACAGTGCTATCTTTGGTTATGAGAGTGTTCTTCTTCATGGTTAGCTTATGTGAAGCAATAAAAGAACATATACACTCCAACTAAGACTTTTCCCTTTCCTTTTCTAGGGACCTCAAGGATTGAGAGGCACTACTGGTATAGCTGGAGATAAAGGAGAAAAGGTAAGAGGTTAATAGTGCTAATGATATATCAGAATTCAAATTTTACCATTGTCTTATTTTCAACAGACTGCTTTTATTCTGGGGGAAGGTAATTTGTAGCTATTTGGTTAATTTCTCACATTCATGTTATAAACATAGATAATAGAAATAAGTTACATATGTGATATGTAGGTTATATTTTGAATTATAATGAATAAATAAGCAGAAATGGAGGTTTAATTTCTTTTTATTGTTTTGACAGTTTAATAACATGGTCACAGCATTGAGTGTATAAGGCAAGAACAGGGTAGGGTGGCGAGGAAGAAGTCAAGTGAGAAGAGGGACAAAACCCAAGAACCCAGAGCCATTCTGGCTCTCTTGCCAAATCCTCATAAGAATCAGACACTTGGGACTAGAGTTCACTAACTCTTCTTTCTTTAGCCTGGCCTCAGATGCCAGATTCTACTAGAATTTGCATGTCAGGCACTCTGGAATATTCTGGGGTAATATCAAAGAGAACTCGACTCCTCACTGAGGTTACTCTTTACTGCAAGAAACTAGCAGACGTTATAATGCAAACAAGAGGAACATAAATTTGAAGACTAGAAGTGAGAGGAAGAAGGGAAGGGAAAGCAATGTATAATCTATAGGGAAATTGAAAGGACACAGGAAAGAGATGGTGCTAGAAGGATGCAGGGGTAGCAAGGCAGATGACCTAGAAGCATGAGGTGTTGCCATTGTCTTAGTGGAGCATGGAGGATGGACAATGCTTAACTGGAGAGTACATCAAAAGCAAAGCAAATCTGACTGGTCATTATGTGCACAGAAATTTTTTTTGTCTCTATATATTTGTATAGGGATGGCTATAGCTTCTCTATTAGATTTTAAGAAAATGGTTACCAAGTACTAAAAAGTATGTGAAGAAAGTCAACTTGTAGGTCTAGAAAAATTTTTTTAAAGTATCTTTGCCCATTACATTGTTAAATTCTCACCTTATTATCTTTGGCACCTCTTTGGCTAATTTGGCTAATACAGAAGGATGGAGTCATTTATTAACAATTAAATAAGAATAACTTGAACATTGTATGTGCTCAGTAAATTAAAAAATTGGAAAGATGCACTGTTTTGTGAGAAATTATTTTATAAATAATGCTTTTGTATATTATTAATTTTTTTAGCAGTAAAGTAGTTCTGAGGGGAATACTAATGCTAAGGAGAATGTGAAGAGAGAGAAAGAGAGAGAGACACACACAGAGACAGGGACAGAGACAGAGACTGAGACTGAGACTGAGAGAGGAGGAGGAAAGCCCCTGAACCAAAGGAAATTTATGCCTAAGGAAGGTCATGGCAACCCTAATGTGGAGTGCTGTAAAGTAAAAGAGATTATGCATGGGGAGCTGGGCTGTGGGAGAGACTAGTGGAGTTTGACCTGAAGAAAAATTAGGCATCCCAAACTGAATGGAGTGCTTTCATTTCAATTTTAAGTCACTTTATTTCTTCTACAAAAAGGCTCTTTATTTTCATTATGTTGCCTTTGCTCTTCCATTTCCTTTAAGAATACTTCTTTTCTGAAAGCACTGTTTAAATTTTTTTTGTTTTTCTTAAAGCACCAAAATTTACAAAGTTTTTTATAGTTGGGTTTTAGACATATATATATATATATATATTTAAATTTATTTATTTATTGAATCGCTGTGGGAAAAGTTACAAAGCTTTCAGGTTTAGGTCTCGGTCATGCAAATATCAATCACATTTCCCTTTACCAATACTTATTTTTCACCACGAAGAACCCCAATAACCCCCCCCCCCCCAACCCTCCCAATGCCTGTGGGGCAGATGAATTCTAGTTAACACTCTATCTACTTTGACTAGCTTCATTGTTTCAATAAAAGTTGCACCATTATTATTTAGACTTTCCCCCCCCCCCCCCAAATCAGCCATGCCAAAAAAGCATTGTGGAATGATTTGCTTTCTACAGCTGGGTTCAAGAATTAAATGATGTCGCACGCGGTTTTGGATTTCTGCTATTTTATTTATTAACCCTGGAAGTATTTCTACTGAGAGTCAGATAATTAAGAGATTGGTTTCTGTGCTTCTGAGGCCGTGGCCGTGCCGGAGAGCCGCTCGTGGGGGGCAACTGGTGACCTCGGTAGGGCATGAAGGACGGGCTGGAACGCCCCCCCCCCTCCGTCCCATGAGGTATCAGTCGCGCCCCCGCCCCCGGCTCAGACCTGCTCTCCACCCATATATATTTTTTTTAAAAAACTTTTTATTGAATCACTTTGAAATCGACCCTTACAAAGTTATTCATGATTGGATTTCTGTCATGCAGTATCCATATAAATTTTAGCACCAGTCTCACTACCAATATTTTCTTTCCTCCACAAGGATTCTCAGGTTTCCATGCCCCGATCCTGCCCCCCCAATCTACTAGGCTGATAGGAACCTTTTAAAGTTCGGTTGTTGAAGTTTGGATCTCTTGTTTTCAGTGCTGTTGACTCTGTGGTTTGGGTATTAGCTGTACCACTTCTTTGCACCATTGATGTACTCAGATTCCCTTGACATCTTCCCTGGTTGCTTCCTGTCCAACTTTTATTCCTCCCTCAATTTCTTTCCTATTTTGTCCTTCTGCTTCCTATATAGTGGTCAAGGGCGGTCTAGGCATTCCCCTTTTCAAACATTGCCATTTCTCATCAAGCACCATATTTTTAAAAACACATTGCATTCTTTTGTATGTCTATATACTGGTTAAATTAAATAGCAATCTCTGTTATATCTTCTGTTATTAAAGAATAAAATCCATTAATTTTGTAGTTGCTGACACATAAGCCTGTGCATTTTCTGGATTTAAATAATCCCCCCCAAATACGTGACCCTTTGAAACCAATTACTATTCTTGATATGTTCTTTATTTGAGGTATTTTTCTACTTGGTATTTTTCAAAATTTCTCATTTCCTCTTATTTCTGTCAAATTGCTTTCAATAGGAAGAAATGGCTTTTCTCATGAACTCAGACCCATGGAGTGGTTACCTAGTAACAGCGGTTTCGGTCTGAGCTCTGCTGAACAGTAGTCAGAGAGAAAGCATCAAAGCCACTTCTATAATGCAAAGGCCAGTTCCCTGGCACAATGCAAGGTGAATGATGAATTCAAGGTCTTTTAAGGGTCTTCTAAACCGCTTCTTCCCTGTGAATGCCTTGCACCTTGTTCTGGTTTTAGAGATGAAAGAATTTCTAGGCTGTGTGGTACCTTTGCTTCAATTGTGTTCTTTCTTTGACTCTTTCTGTCTGAATCTTCTATAAAATTTTTAGTTTTTAATTCTTACTACAGACACAGTTAAGTTGGTTTCCTTGGCGTGACAAATTATCCAATATTCTTTTGACTGTTTCCCTTTAATTTTATCATCTCTCCACTTCAGCCCTGTTCATTAGGATATACCTGTCCAGTTAGTTCTGTTTCTCTCTTCTGTCTTCTCATTTATTTAGTAGATGAGAAAATGATGTAAAGAAGGAAGTTGTATTTTCTCGATGTAGGATGCGATAATAGAAATTATCTTCATTGAAAAACATATTTTTATTATAATAATAAAAATTGAGAGGTGAATTGAGAGGTGAAATGTGTAAAATATGACCGAGTCAGAGATAATTCCATGATAATTCAATCAAAAAAGTTCTGCTATTCGTATGCAGTCATCACTTCACAGGGTGGCTCTATTTATGAGAAAAATAAATTGACTGCTTTACACAAAAAAAGATTTAACATATCTCCGGTACCAAAGAGAGGATGCTCACATCCTAATTACAGTTTTGAAGCACACAGTTGGACTTTTGATTCTAGACTGTGGTGGAAATCTAGAATTTCAGAAACCCTTCCTGTAGCAGCAGCAGAGTCTATGTGGGCTGATGTTAGGTCTTTACCAGTATTGAATTTCATGGGAACTCTGGGAGGTGGTTACCAAATTCTTCCTGTAGTTTTGTCGCATTCTTTCATAGGTATCACTGTATCACTGTCATCCTGTTGTTCATCGATTTACTCAAGCAGGTGCCAGTAACGTCTCCATTCGTCTCAGCCCTGAGATTTTATTTTATTTTTTTTAATTTTTTTTGACTATTTATTTATTTATTTATTGAATCACCGTGGGAAAGGTTACAAAGCTTTCAGGTTTAGGTCTCAGTCATGCAAATATCAAACACATTTCCCTTTACCAATACTTATTTTTTACCATGAAGAACCCCAATAAAACCCCACCCCCCACCCCTCCCAGTCCCTGTGGGGCAGATGAATTCTAGTTAACACTCTATCTGCTTTGATTAGATTCATTGTTTCAATAAAAGATTCACCACTATTATTTAGAGTTTACCCTCCCGCCCAAATCAGACATGCTGAAAAAGCATTGTGAAGTGATTTGCTTTCTACAGCTGGGTTCAAGAATTAAATGTTGGTTTCGGATTTCTGCTATTTTACTTATTGACCCTGGAAGTATTTCTACTGAAAGTCAGATAGTTAAGAAATTGGTTTCTGTGCTGTGGAGTCGTGGCCGTGCTGGAGAGCCGCTAGTGGGGGGCAACTGGTGGCCTCGGTAGGGCGTGAAGGGCGGACCGAAACGCCCCCCTTCCCAGGGCGTGAAGGACGGACCGGAACGCCCCCCTTCCCATGAGGTTTTAGTCGCCCCCACTCCCCCGGCTCATGCCTGCTGTCCACAAGGCTCCCATGTGGCCGCCATCTTTCTTTCCAGAGAGGAGAGGGTGAGCCCTGAGATTTTAGCAGCCTCTCCTACTCGTCTTACCCAACACTGCAGTATTGGAGGCTCTTTCAGGGTCAGGGGAATGAAGTCCAAGTGATTTTTACCAGCAATTGAGAATGAATGCAGGATTAAATTAAAATATTCAGAATGGTGTTAAAGATTGAACTTAGGTACCTATGATGTAGTAAAAAGACATCAATTAGTATTTTCACAACTGAGGCATCTGATGACATATTCCTGGGAACTCATTGATGAAGACTATGTAGTAAAAACACAAAATTATCATTTTATCTCATTACTAAACTTTTCTAGAAAGCCTAATATCACATGTGGTGTCTCACTTTTATTTTATGTATTTTTCATTTTTTTCAGGGTGCTCGGGGCTTCGATGGGGAACCTGGACCCCGAGGTCTTCCTGGTGCACCTGTGAGTAGTTTTCCTTCCACAAGACACAGTAACAGACTTTTAAAAAAGGAATTGGATTCTTTTACTACAATATGTAGAGTGCTATTTATATACTGATAATAAAAGTGAAAAATTGTAACGTTTGTTTTAAGAAATTTAAATTCAGATGAACAATTCTTTCTTGAGTACAGAAAGATGTTCTCTGATTTGCTCTGGGTTTTATTTCTCTCATAAGTGAAGCCGATTATAGTTTGCATGTTTCTTCTACTTTGTTTGACAGGATGTGCAGAGTTACAGTATCTATCTCATTTCAAATAGTTGTGTAGGTCTATCTGGTTCCTATCTATGATTTCTGATTACTTGTTCCATATTTTAACTTTGTGTTAACAATGTTAATATTATAGACTGTCTCAAGCTTTTTTAGAAAATAAATTTAAAACAGCATTCCTTAGTTATCAACTATACAACAAAAGATGTAGAAAAGTATAGGTTAAGTAGAATTTCTAATGATCAAAGTCCTGTGGTACCCGGAAAAGACAGAATATTACTAAATGTTATATTACACAGTGAAGTGCTAGATTGATCATGTGGTTGAGAGAGTTTATGCAAAAGGATCTCAGAGAGGTTGGTAAGGAAAGTTATTGTAGGTTGGCCACAAAGTACAGGTTAGGCAGGTCATTGTTGGGGTGCTTTGAGTGCTGTTGTTGGGACTGTTACTACATGGAATTTGTACTGAGAAGATTTGAAATTGAGTAGATAAGGTAGAACTACATTATTGAGTGCTTAATATCAACCTATATCATGTGAGCTGATTCAGTAGCAACAGGAGTCCTGTGAGGTTTTAGAGTAATTGAACAGTCCAACAAAAACTCTCTTTTATGAAGACACATACTTGCGGTAGCTTACAGGGCTCTCCTAGAGGGACAGGGTAATCGAACCTGGGTTGGCCAGGTCGGCCAAGGCAAACACCCTACCTGCTGTGCTATCGCTCCAGCCCAACATAAGCTGGATAATTTGGGTAGAAACCATTAATTGGCTGAGTAAGTCATAAAGTGAAAAGGTTGGCATAATTCAGACCTCAATTCACCCTAATAGTGAATGAAGTTAGTTGATCTGTAGACATAATTATTTATTCATTAGACAAAGCTACCTACTGTGAGAACCTTAATTTTATTGCATGTATACACCTAAAGAGCATTGAAGGATCATGCATTTAAAATTAAATCAAAAGACATCTATGCCTCAAATACTCTTTTGGTAATGTCAGTTTTGAAGCCAATGCAGTATTTTTTTTAATTGAAGAAAGACAATTTTTATTGAATAAAATTTATGAGAAAGACATGAGGGGTGAGAAAGAGAGGAATACATGTTCAAGAGAGACCGTGGTACTGGGCCAGAGAGGTAATACAGTAGATAGGGTGCTGGCCTTGCATGTGGCTCACCAGGGTTTGAAACATAGCATCACATATGGTCCCCCAAGCACCACCAGGAGTATGACCAGGTATAGCCCCCAAACCAGAAAACAACCTCCCTCCAAAAAACCAATCCCCCCAAATCCAAACAGTAGAGAAAATGAAAGAGGGAGAGAGGACGAGAGGGAGGGAGAGAGGGAGGGAGGGACAGAGAGAGAGAGAGAGAGAGAAAGAGAGAGAGAGAGAGGAGTTTAAAGAATTAAAAAAGCAATCGAGGGACTGGAGCTATAGCACAGCAGGTAGGGCGTTTGCCTTGCATGGGGCCGACCCGGGTTCAATTCCCAGCATCCCATATGGTCCCCTGAGCACCGCCAGGAGTAATTCCTGAGTGAAGAGCCAGGAGTAACCCCTGTGTATTGCCGGGTGTGACCCAAAAGGCAAAAAAAGTTATCAAATAAGTAAATTTTGCTTACATTAATACAATTTCAATTTAATACAGGGTGATCAAGGACAACGAGGACCTCCTGGAGAAGCGGGTCCAAAGGGAGATAAAGTGAGTTCACATTACCTTTCTTCTATCCAAGTATCATTTTTTTTCAGTGACATCTTTTGATTCTACTAATCTTTTGGCAATGTCCTAAGTTTTGTGTTCATTTGAACCTGTCTTATCAGTTCTCCTTGTCCTACAGGGACCCCAAGGTTCCAGAGGAATTCCAGGCCTTCCTGGGTCTAAAGGAGATACGGTATGTCCTGAGTTGAGTTGTAGTTACCAACTCATTTTTCAAAATCATTATTCATTTATTAAAAAAAAAGAAAAATTGTGAATAGAGCAGAATGTGACTGTGCTGGACAGTGTACTTCTTTGTGTGTCTTTAGGGCTTGCCAGGTGTGGATGGTCGTGATGGAATACCTGGGATGCCTGGAATAAAGGTAACTGTACGATTTAGTCTAAGAGTGAATGGGGCCTTCTTTGCCCTGGCCAACTGGCCGCAACATTTCCATTACTAAAGCGTTGCTGGTAGATGTATATAATTAGTTGGTTTTTTCCCCTTCTTAATTTTTCAAGTCAGTGTCACTTCAAAATGCCTGTTAGACGAATATATTTGGTTGGTTTCAGGACTCTAGGAAAATTGCCCCATTGAAGAAACTAAACTGAAGGCACTTGCATACTTTGAGTGAATGTATGACTTAAATCTTACCCCACCCTGGCATGAAATGAGTCACATTATAAAAAGTGCACCTGGGTGATTTTGAAGGTCTGTGTCTTTTTCTTCAAGGAACTGTAACCATTTATGCTGGTTCAATGATAAAATAAAACCTTTTTTCAGGGTGAGCCAGGAAAACCTGGACCTCCTGGTGATGCAGGATTACAGGGGTTACCTGTAAGTATCTCATTCTTTGAATGTTTATTGGTTTGCATATGAATTTTGAAGATGGGTATTTTGTGGGACTAATGTTTAAGTGACTTAATAAATACTGGGAAAGATAAGATATTTTAATTTAACCTTTTATGCAGTTTTTACATTGAGAGTTTTGAACTTCCCCCAAATAATTACCAAATTATTTCTCTAATATCTATATTTAACTTTTTTGTCCTTCTTCACTATTCAGTTTACTCATTCTTCCTTCTCTTCCTCTCTGTTTCCCTCACCCTCTCCTTCTCCCTCACTCTTTCCTTCTCTCACTCTTTCTTTCTCTCTCTCTCTCTCTCTCTCTCTCTCTCTCTCATAAATTTACCACCTCTGAGCTTTGGGCTAGGGAGTTCTTGTTAGCAGAGCTGAACCATAAGAGTATTGAGAGTATGCTTTAAAACAGTGCTAGATATAGCATGCCATTAAAAAATAATATAGTGCTTTGAATTATCCAAGTTGCTGTTTTCTTGCATTAATGTCTCTGGAAATTCATGTTGATTATACCTTGTGTATACTTTGCTTTTTGGAGGCAAATGTTTCAAGTTAATAAGCATTCTTGATGATAGGGGGGACTGCCCTCCAATTAGTTATGCTATCTGATACTGAAAATAGTCAACTAGGGAATATTAGGACTTCCAACAGTATCAAGTCTTAATTAGGCTCAGTTTGGGCCTACCATTCTTTTTATTTATTTATTTTTTACTTAGAGTTTAATATGTTTTATAGACTCTCACTTTGCTTTTCTATGTACATCATGCTGGTAAATACACCAGTTCAGCTGAAAATGGTAGTAGATTCTAATTTGGAATTTCACCCTTGAAATATTAGTTTGCAGGTAGGTTTGCTATAAGGGTTTTCAGACTTACAAGCCAACTGTAGAAAGGAAATGCCTTCTAAACTGGTCTACTTCTATAACTGACAGTCCAGACATAGGGAAATGGGAAACTTGGAAGAACTGTCCTTCCATGTCCACTTTGAGGTTGTCGTGATCCGCTCAGCTTCTCACCATGTACAATGGAATTAGCTGGGATTCTCAGGTAGAGTAACCTAAACCCACATTCTCTGCATTCTTTCAGGGGGTCCCTGGAATTCCTGGTGCAAAAGGTGTTGCCGGTGAAAAGGTACACAATTGGAACTTTTAAGTTGGCATTTTAATTCTTTTATTGACATATTTTATTTATAATTTTCAATATTTCCAATGTGCTTTTATTTTATTTTCAACCCTATGGAGAAACTGAAAAGGACTTAAGGCTTAAAATATGGTTCTCTTTCTAGACAGCATAAAGGACACTTTAACACAGTGTTGCTTCCTTTTTGAAAATTCGATCCTCTCATTATGTGCATAAGAGACCATTATTAACAGTATTGTAAACTATAGAAGCTCAGTCAATAAAATATTTTTTAAAAAAAGCATCTTCTGCCAGCATAAAATGAAGAAAGCTTTGTTACTTGGCTTCTTGAAAAAAAGGAACATATTACTAAGCCACTGAAATTATTTCAATGACTATTAAGATGATTTATCTTAAACTAAAAAGATAATAGGCAAAGACAATCATTTATATAGTTATCAACATATCCTTATAGTCTAGCAAGTTAAAAATGAATAAGTGAAAGAAATGAAAGGCTTACAGTAAGTAAGTAGTTCAAATAAAATGACTACAATGAAGACCCTGTGTAAAATGGTCCCCACCAGATTAACTGGCAACAGTCCTGAAATCCCTGGTCCACAGTGCACTGGGCAGAGTTGTTCCCTAATAAGTGGACTCTGAGATATTGATGGTGCATAGCATCTCCTGGATTGTGCTTTTCCTGGAGTCTGCTGACAGAAGTTTCTCAACAGCACATCCTCTGATAATTTTCTCAGGATGACAAGGTTCTTTATAATTTTAATAGCATCAGTGTCAGGTAAAATGTCTTGGAGAAGTGTTATTGGCAGTGAAAATGGTAAAGGAAAGACATACACAATTAATATTGTTGAAGAAAGAAAAAATCCTCTCATATTGTTGTCTAGCTCAAACCCTTCATTTTTGACACAGTGACACCTTTACTAGACATCTGTGTCTCCCAAAACAGATTCCTGAATCTAAAGTTCTTTGATGTATACACCACAGGAGAAATTCTATATCTTTCCAGAGTCTTGGTGTGGAAATTGGAAGATTAATGCTATTTAAGTGTAAAAACTACTTGTCTAGGTGAGACAGGCTGATGAAAAGAAGCAATC